GATTTATTAAAGATGTCTTACTCGTTCTCAATCTTAAAGAAAATCTCTTGAACATTGAACAAATGATGGAGAAAGGTTATGCCCTTCACTTCAAAGGAGATACAGGTAAAATCTATGACAATAAAATACGAGAGATAGGAGAAGTAAAAATGGAGAAAAGAAATAGAAACTTTCCTATAAGCTTCAAATATACTACTGATATTGCCATGAAAGTTCAAGTTGATGATTCATTGCTATGACTTTGACATAGAAGGTTTGGACACTTCAACACTCAGGCTTTGAAGCTTCTACATCAGAAGAATATGATGAGAGATCTCCCATACCTGAAAGAGAATAATGAAGCTTGTGAAGGATGTCTTCTCGGGAAGCAACATAGATTACCATTTTCAATCAACAAAGCATGGAGAGCAAAAGGTTTGTTGGAATTAATCCATATAGACATTTGTGGACCGATGAGGACACCGTCACTAAACAACAACAGGTGTTTTATCCTTTTCATCGATGACTTTTCTAGAATGACCTGGGTTTACTTCATCAAAGAAAAATCAAAAGTCCTTGGAATATTCAAGAAGTTTAAAGCTCTCATCGAGAAACAAAGTGGAAGACACATAAAAGTTCTTAGAAGTGATCAAGGTAAAGAATATAACTCACATGAGTTTGATAAGTTCTATGAAGATGACGGAATAGAAAGATAACTTACAATTGCATATACACCACAACAAAATGGTGTATCAGAAAGAAAGAATCGCATAATGATGGAGATGGCAGTATCAATGTTGAAGGAGAGGCTTGCCAAATACGTTTTGGGCAGAAGCAGTTTATACTGCCGTGTATATACTCAATAGATACCCAACTAAGGTAGCCCAAGATAAGACTTCAATTGAAGCTTGGAGTAGGCAAAAACCATCAGTTAAACACTTAAGAGTTTTTGGATCTATCTACTACATAATGTGCCAAATCAGAAAAGGCACAAATTAGAAGACAAGACTATATGAAGAATCTTCTTGGGATATACACACAAACAAAAGGCTATGGAGTTTATAACTTGCAGACAAAGAAACTCACCATCAGTCAAGATGTTGAGGTTGATGAAAATGCTTCTTGGAATTGGGAAGAAGGAAGAATAATGAGAAACAACATCTTCCTTCCAGTACAACAATCCCAAGAAGAAATTCAAGAAGTGACAGAAGATCCAAGTACACTTCCTTGATCTGCACAACAAGATTTTTCACCAGAATCTACTCCTAGGAGTGTAAGATCCTTGGTAGATATATATGAAACATGCAACATGGCAATGCTTAAGCTTGAATGCTATGAAGAGGCTGCAAAGCAAGAAGTCAGGATCAAGGCAATGGAGGAAGAAATTAAAATGATCGTAAAAAATAATACTTGGAAACTAGTAGATTGCCCACATGGAAAGGACATAATTGGAGTAAAATGAGTTTATAAAACAAAGTTCAATCTTGACGACACCATACAAAAGCACAAGGCTAGGCTGGTAGCAAAGGACTATTCACAACAACATGGAATCGACTATAACGAGACATTTGCCCTAGTTTCTCGTCTAGATACAATTAGAGATTTAATAGCTCTTGCAACACAATTGGATGTTAAATTAGCCTTTCTAAATGGTGTACTAGAAGAAGAGATATATGTGCAGCAACCACCAGACTTTTTAAGCAAAGGAAATGAAGTCAAAGTGTTAAGGCTAAGAAAAACACTATATGGCTTGAAGCAACCTCCTCGAGCATGGTACAATAGAATTGATCAGTACTTCACTAATCAAGGATTCAAAAGGAGCAAGAGTGAACCAACACTATATATCAAGACTCAAGGTCAGTATGATATTCTCATTATGATCTTATCTACACAGGAAACAATAAAGAGATGATAAGAGAATTCAAAGAAGACATGATGAAAACATTTGAAAATGAGCGACCTTGGCTTGATGAATTATTTTCTCGGCATAGAGGTAAGACAACAAAAGGAAGGTATATTTATCTCTCAAAAGAAATACATTGAGGCTTTATTAAAGAAATTCAAGATGTATGGTTGCAAATCTGTGGTTACTCCACTCGTGACAAATGAGAAGTTACAAAAAGATGATGGAGCACCAGAAGCTAACGCATCACACTATAGAAGTTTGATTGGAAGTTTACTATATTTTACAACTACATGACCAGATATCATGTATGCTACAAGCCTTCTATTAAGGTTCATGCAAAGACCAAGTCAAATTCACTTTGAAGCAGCACAAATGATTTTAAGATATTTACAAGGCACAAAGGACTTTGGTATATGGTACAAAATTACGAACGACTCAAAGTTGATTGGCTACACTGATAGTGATTGGGCAGGATCTATAGATGACATGAAGAGTACATCAGGTTATGCCTTATCACTTGGATCGGGATTTTTCTCTTGGGCATCTAAGAAGCAAACAACAGTAGCACAGTCAATAGCAAAAGCAGAGTACATGGTAGCAGCTGAAGCTACAAATCAAGTTATATGGCTCCGAAGAATACTTGAAGAGATGGGAAAACAACAACATGGATCTACTATAATTTACTGCGATAACAAATTAGCGATAGTAATGACAAAGAATTCAGTCCATCATCAAAGAACAAAACATATAGTTATTAAATATTACTTTATCAGAGAGGCTGAAACGACTAAATAAATTCAACTTGAGTACTACATTACAGAAGATCAAATTGCAGATATATTTACCAAGGCACTATCAAGAGCCAAGTTTGAACAATTACGTTTCATGCTTGGAGTTTCAAGAATTTGCATCAAGGAGGAGTGTTGAAAGATGATGCAAATTCTAGAAAGATCTAAAAAATAAAATCCTAGATGTTACTAAAACTAGGAACTTCATATCAGTAATATCTAGAATCCTTAAAAGATTCTAGAAATGTTTGAAAGTAGAAGATAGATAATTCTAGAGTTAAGAAATCTAGAATTATCTAGAATATTTAGAAAGTGGTGGATCAAACCTATAAATGGTCATGTCACTTATGTAATGGGTGTGAAAAAACTAATACAAACTCTTACATATCTTGTAACACTTCCAAGATTAATTACTATCTTCTCTCAGACAATTCTTCTCTCAGACAACTCTTCTCCTATTTGTCCACCCCTTTCTAGAAATTATTTTCTACCCAAATCTCACTACTAAATATCAAACTATCTTTCCAATCCTTCCAAAAATATTAATAGTGATTGTAACGTAACATAATCTAGAAGCCAAAATTTGAACGAGAATAAAAGAATGAAGTATCTTTCAGTTGAAAGACATGAGTGTTGTCTGATTAGTTATTTTAAAATATTTAGTGTTGTTTAGATTTCTAAAATTCTCTAAACTTCTGTTAGGTCATGTTCACCTCCTTAATTAAATGTGTATGTTGTCAGCACCTTTTTCTCACGCTTGGTTAGCATTTCTTATCATTTTGTAAACTGTACATAATATACATACACACGTAAAAGAAAATGTGTAATTTCTCCGTGTACTCTAACTGAAAAAAAGACTATATTGTCAAATAGTATTTATGTGTGGCTGCCATACATAATAAAGTTCCATGTTAACTTTATTGTGCAGGGCGTGTTTAGTTCCATGTTGACAGGAGATAAGGTTAATGAAATCCTCTTACTTGGGCAAGTCACGGTTGAGTCAGACCTTATGCCCAAATTCTTATTCAATCTCAAAGCTTAGCTTTAATTCGTAGTTGGGTCACCCTAAACGTTAAAAGCATAGCCTGAGACCAAGCTTCATAATAAATGTTAAAATTCCTTACAAATGCCTGATTTTGACTTCCTCATTGAGCATCACTAGTAAATAAAAATGTCAAGAGCAAGAGTGATACAGACCAGCACCACAAAAACTAAGGATTAAATACCCAGCATAAAATAGAAGAAGAAAGAAATATTATTATTCTGTATCATTTGCAACATAGAAGGGAAATACAGAAGCATAATAACAGAAAACACCCTTCTCTCTCCTCTAACTGCCCTCCCCCTTAATCATGCCATCTCAGCCATATGTTTCTTCTTTCTCACATATACTCTTCTCCATCTTTGCTTGCTTCCTTCTTTGGACTTGTAAAGGCCCACTAACTCTTTGGGCCTCATCAAAGAGCATTAAAAGTATAATGTTAAAACAGAGTTCAATGTTAGTCACCAAAACTTATTTCTCCATTAAGAAATTGTAGAGAGGCCTCTACTGAAGAAGAAACAGACAATCCTAATACACAAATCTAGTATAATGTGAATGATTGCTTGCCTTCCTCAATTGCAAGAATTGATTATAGTACATTCCAAAACCTTTTTTGTCTAGCTAGAATAAATGTAGTTACTTTAATTGAAAATGCCAATTAAATTAGTCATTTTTTATCAATGTACAAGCAATTCAACAGAAACACTTTTGAGGTACATTTCATTCTCAGTATGGATTACATATTGCCTGGAATTTCATTGTCATTAGGAAGTTGAGTTTTAGGGCGTGTTGAACTTCTACTCATCTTTAGAGCTAAGATTATGCATCCAACAAAAACGACATGTAAAAACTTCCAACACTTCATGTTTCCCATCACCATATTTGTCTTAATTTCAACATAAACATTCATATCAATGCCATTCCTCGTTAATTTATACTAATATATATAGTTAACCCACCATATAAGTTAGGGACTACTAAGGTCATATACACCGTTTTGCTAAAACATATAGATTACTCATAATAGGCACGAAGCTAAGAATCTGTGAACCAAATCCATTGACCAGCATGACTATGCTTTGTCGTCATCAAGGAGAGGTAGGTATACTTCTAAAATCTCCTAAATAGTTGTCACTATATTTTTTTCCTATAGCACTCCAGTGTAATTATTCTAATTTCCAATACACATTTATAAACCAGTTGCTCCAGAAATATGTGAAACTGCAGGAATCGTACCATTTTGGCATAGGGGTGGTTGCCATTTGTCTGATCTGACTTCACCCCAATGGCCAAAGAACAACCTTACTCTTACCATGATGCCTTAGGCCTACGGGTTAACATTTGGAAACCCCAAGCTCAAAGAAGCAGGTTACCTACGAGCAGTATGTTTACAGAATGAACCGTCTAGTTTGGCCATAAGGTGTTATTTGTGGCTTCCTCTCAATGTGTTGTCTCTCTTCAACTGAGAGCTTTGCCTAAGACTGCAACACCAAGGACCAGTATGCAATTTCCCAAATAAGAACGTCCCTCACCTTTTCTACAGGTGGTGACGAATCTCAGCTACCCTTTAAAGCAAAAATAAATTCAAGAATAATGGCTTGATGTTGTTTAGGTACACCACATCTCACCGGGTGTACCTCAGATACCATCATCCTTTTATCTTCATTGCATGACAATTCTCATCCAGCATTATTTTTGGGTAAAATTTCACCTTCTGTTTGACATTGTGCAGGAATCAAGAAAATGTTGGAGTATGAAATTGAAGCCCGAAGGATGTTAGCTGTTTCTTTGATATGCACGCTATGCCATGCTTCCTATTGCCTCTTTTACTCTAAAATTTGTATCTCTGTTATGCTAGAACTAATAATATATTCAGCAACTGCTCTATTTCCAATATTCCTGTCAATTTAACCACTAGGATGTTCTGACGTTGTATGTAATAGTGGACTGGAAATTGATTTTTGATAATGATTAGAACTTTTATATATTACTGGAATGCATTAATAATGTATATTACATGATTAAACTACGAAGAGCTACCCTCACCTGTTGTGCTGGGAACAGTGCACAGAAATATGAAGATTAAGTTTGATCAGAGTTTAAGTTTAAATAATGGTTATGAAAAGAGACCGGTCATCAAACTAGTAAACATACGGGTTTAGGATTTTAACTAAGAATTAAATCAAATTTAATAAAATAATGATTAGTAGAGTTGTTAGGACTTAAGGAGGATTAAAGATTAAATGATGACAAACTAAACAGTCCAACACTATCAATTTAAGCTAATACAGAAGTAGAACCATACCTTTCAAAAGACAGATAATGATCCACAATATCATGGCACAAACAATAGGTTCACAGTTCCCACGTGTCCCAATGGTGAAGGTAAATGGATTAAAGAAGCATATGATGACAGAATAGTTGCACAGATTTTCAGGAACCTTCCGTAGCTTTATGAAATATACCACAAGTATATCTGCATTTTATAAGATGACATTTTCTTAGGTGTAATGTCTAGTGTTAGCGTCCAATTTCGTACGGATTGATAAAAATAAGATAACAATATTTATTAAAGAATGAAAAGTAAAGGAAAAAAATGAAAATAATCATTTCTTTAAAAAAAAAAAGAGAAAAGAGAAAATTAATTCTATCTAACATTTTTACATTGTATAAAAAAAAATAACAATTCTTTTGGGTCTAACCCGTTTTCTTACCCTGATTCTCAAACTCAAGGGGGAGACTCCACTGTCAGGACCTTCACACGCACCCTTGTTTTTCTTCTCAGCCACGGTCTCCACTCTCCAGCCCTCACTCCCCCTCCAGCAGCCTCCATTTCCATGCCCAAAGCCACCGCGAGAGCCACACCCCCCCCCCCCCGAGCGCATCTTCTTCCTCATCTCCCAATCACCATTTCCATCTTCTTCAACTAACCCGCACCCATCACCGTGACCACTACCGCACGGCCCTAGATCCGCGCGGCGCAGCCCCCGTCCACCTTCTCCTCACCACGCCAGCCACCACGGGTCTCGGCCGCACCACCCCCATCGCAGCCCACACCCATCATCAACTCGAATCCACCCACCGCGCGGTCAACCACCACGGGCTTTAGCCGCGCAACTAACCTCCGCCGTCAGCACCTCTAGCCACCACCGCAAGCCATCCTCGAGCTCAAGTTGTCGCGCACCATTGAAACCCCTACGCCGCGCCAACCACAGAGACCCATGTATAATACACATTCAGAAGTGAAAAAATATAATATTGAAAATGTCTCATTGAGAGAGTGGTAAGAGTGAGAGAGCCTTGTTATCTAAGTCAAGTGTTCTTATGTATAATACAAGACTAGACTATGAAAAATTATTTAATTTTTAATAAAAAGAGGAAATTTAAATTCAGAGTTAAATAACCTATTCACGTATGTTTTATTAATATAATTGTGGTTCTGAAGCTGACTAGTTATTTTCTGATGTTTGTTTTGTTGTTACCTTTCAGCAATGGCATCCTTAGATATTCGTTCATTGCTTGTATTCTCTGCCATTTTTCGATTTATTTTGATTGTGTACGGAGAGTGGCAAGATACTCACATGGAGGTTAGATACACTGATGTTGACTACCTTGTCTTTTCTGATGCTGCTGCTTTAGTGGCTGTGGGTGATTCCCCTTATAAGAGAACCACTTACCGCTATTCCCCCTTGCTTGCTTTTCTTCTCATTCCAAATTCATTCATCCATCGCTCCTGGGGGAAGTTCCTTTTCTCGGCTTCAGGTATGGTCAAGCTTTTGGATGTAATTTCTGCTGACACTCTTTGTTCAGTTACCAAGTTGAAGCAATGTCAATTACTTGCCAGAGAAACATATTTTAGCCATAGTTTTAACTAATGTAATTCTGTGTATAAAATTTTGCATATTTTAGACATAAAATTTTGGCTCATTAGGAATGAGGGTTACACTTTAGGGACAAAAGTAAGTGCAGACTAGATTGGTAAACTGTGAAAAATCAACAAAGTGAAGTTCTGCAACTTTATGATTTGTAAGTGTATGAATGTTATCACAGTCTCAGTCATTGGTTTTCCAATCAACAATCATTATTTTGCACTTTTGTCTAGTGTACTGAGAGGGCAGCAAATTTGTCTTCCTTCCCTGACTCAAGGAGTATGCTTGAATATGCAAACAAACAGGTCAGGACGGTCAAATTTGTTGGATAAGGAGAACATATAATAAAGGGCTTAAAGTATCGTATGCAATGGCTTATTATTAATTAACAGTAAGCCAAGTGACTGACTGGGGTGTGGGGCAGGAATGATTAGACATGTATTGTTACTGGATACAGTATGATCAATCAAGGGCTTCAAAGGTACGCCCCAATTTAGTAGTGATAAGCCAAGTATAGTTACCAAATTAAGTATGACAATTGAGTGAGGGCTTCACAGGTACTCCCAACGTTGGAGATAACTTCCCCACAGGCTTTGGTTTGGATTGCAACCAATTTGGCCATGTAGTTAAGGAGAAAAAAGTTATTTCTATCAAAACCAAAATAATGGGAACAGGTTTAAAAAAATTCTGTTAGACTTTGGAATGAGAAATTTCAATTATTTGTGAATGTAAGTGACTATTTTGCCCCTTGCATTATTTCAAATCATTATGCTGTTAGATAATGAATATGCTGAATATTTTTCCAGTCATTACACCTAAAAAAATGTCATCTTATAAAATGCAGATATACTTGTGGGATATTTCATATATTATATTTTAAAGCTACGGAAGGTTCCTGAAAATCTGTGCAACTATTCTGTCATCATATGGCTCTTTAATCCATTTACCTTCACCATTGGGACACGTGGGAACTGTGAACCTATTGTTTGTGCCATGATATTGTGGATCATTATCTGTCTTTTGAAAGGTATGGTTCTGCTTCTGTATTAGCTTAAATTGATAGTGTTGGACTGTTTAGTTTGTCATCATTTAATCTTTAATCCTCCTTAAGTCCTAACAACTGGACTAGTCATTAATTTTATTGTACACACTGTTTTATAGCAATTGGTTGCTAACTTGTAGTTTGCGTATCTTTTTAATTTTAATTACATACAAAAAGAGCATTTTTTAATCTATTGTGTAAATAGAACACATGTGCAAATATTAGTCTATAATTGTAAAGAGGCATGGCCTCACAAAAAAGAACGAGTACCAGAAAAACCTTGTAGTATTTGCGGGGATGGTGAGAAATGCCTTTTATCTGGTTTTCAGTTTTTTTTTTTTTTTCTTCATTTTATTATCAATTCTAAAAATTTCATTTTGAGTCTTACATTTGATTCAGCTTGCTGATTAGTTGATAAGGCAGGCTGAGGTCGGTCATTATCATTATGGGGGAAACTGGCCCCACAATGCACACACACACACACACACATATATATATATATATATATATATATATAGTGAACATGTATTAGGTGAGAGATGAGAGCGGGAAAGCATCAAATCTTAGCCTTAATTAAATTGAATGGTTAAAGTTATATTGAATTGAAATAATCTTTACCATTCAACCTTGGTTACATGGCCAAGATTAACATCCTCTTGCTCAAGTTGTGAACTGAATTAAGTTAAACTTTTCTTTGTGTGTATGGTTTTATGGTTTCACTATGATATATATTTATACTTACAATATTATAATGTTAAATTTCAGTGATACATAGCTTAAATTCTGTCTCTATTATTGTTGGTTGATACACCAAAGAAAACCTTAATCTTAGATATTTGCCTATCTCTCGATGCCTTGATGGTACATGCCTTTTCCCCTTATTCCTTCTCGTTTGCAGGTAATGTGTTACAGTCAGCATTTTGGTATGGACTTGTTGTCCATTTCAGGATATATCCTATAATTTACTCTATTCCTATAATCCTGGTTCTTGATCCGAACTCCTTCCCATCTCATCAGAAACCTGTCATAAGGAACTGGAGTGCTGTTCAGGGAGAGAGACCCAAAGATGGGAGTGGGTGGCATACTTTACACAATCTATTTAAAAGCATATTCACATGGAACCGGGTGATATTTGGACTGATCTCAGGATTGGTTTTCCTCTTTTGTACTGGTCTTTTCTACTGTTTATATGAGTGGGAATTCCTACATGAGGCTCTATTGTACCATCTTACTCGAACTGATCCAAGGCATAACTTCTCCATCTATTTCTATCACATATATCTTCATTATGGACATGATACTTCAGTGGTGGAAAAGCTTATCTCCTTTTTGCCCCAACTTTTGGTTCAGCTGGTTCTTATCTTCTGCTTTGCACAAGATTTTCCGTTTTGCCTATTTGTGCAGACTGTGGCCTTTGTGGCTTTGAATAAGGTTTGTTAAGTTATAAAAAAATTGCTGAAGTGCTACTCATTTACATTTAATTAGTTTATTTCAAGCATAGTCATATCTGTAGTGGAGGCTTGGAGGCCTTTTTGGTAATGGCTCCTTTAATTCAACATTTTTCCTTATATTATAATTTATAACACATCTGATTTCTGTATATTTTGCAGGTGATTACAGCCCAGTATTTTGTTTGGTTCTTTTGCTTGTTGCCTCTAATACTTCCTTGGAGTAAAATGAAACTTAGATGGGATGGACTATCTTGCATTCTTTTGTGGATTGGGGCTCAGACCCATTGGTTGATGTGGGGCTACCTGCTTGAGTTCAAGGGTAAAAATGTCTTCTTACAGCTTTGGGCAGCAAGCTTACTGTTTCTAGCAGCTAACATATACATCCTTGTCATGATTATTCGAAACCATAAATACGCTTCTGTTTTCAAAGCTTTAGAGTATGCTAACTCCAAGACTGCAGCTAAGCTTGAGTGAGTGACCTTGACATTCAAGCTTTGGAATATGCTAACTCCAAGACTGCAGCTAAGCTTGAGTGAGTGACCTTGACATTGTTAATGATTTTAAATTTTTATCCTTGTGCTTATTACATGTTGCCCTGCTGTTCTTCTGTTTTTGGAACTTAACGTTGCAAGTTCGTGGCTGCAGTTGAATTTGAGAGCCAACAATCATGTCAAAATTCATGGATTATTATTTTCTTAACGTTAACAAATTGGTGAATCATTGTATTCTTATTTTGTTACTCTGTAGTCTTATTTCAATGCAAAATCTTAGTCCACTGGTTTTATCCCTAAATCTAGATGGTAGGGCTGTTTGTCTAATTGTAGGAAGTCAAGGAGAAAAGTAATTTATTTTGTGAAGGAAAGGGAAAATTGTAGCTTAGCCAATTCCCATCCTTGTCTGAACTAAAAAGAATCTTCTCATCAGTTATTAAAATCGGATCCGACTGGTATGTTATACTGGTACAACGGGGAATTGGTCCGATAATCGGTTCGGAGCTCTTTACAAACTGGACGAATAATGAACAGGTCAAAAACCGGATAAATTGGTGAAATTGGATGGGTCAAGGGTCATCCGAGTTTTTTATTTTTAATTTTTTAAAAAGGACTAAATGATGTCTTATATATATTTTTTAGTTTAACATTAAGATACACAAACATGAAGATAGAAAATAGTTTTTTGTAGTAGTGATGGTATTTTTTTTTTATTATAGTCTTCGTTCTTATCATTATTATTGTCATCGTTATCTATTATTTTTTATTGTATTCTTTTAGCATCGTCCTTGTTGTTATTGTTGTCTATTATTATTTATTATTATTATTACAATTATTCATGGAAATATAATAACAAGTAAGAATTACAATTTTTTAATTTCAAAAATTAATTTGATGAGTAGGCTTAAATGCATTTTCATGAATGATTGTAGTGATGATAATAATAGACAACGATGATAGCAAGGATAATGTTAAAAGGAGATAATTAATGGTAATGGGTGATGGGTGATGGGTGATGGGTGATGATGATGAGAATGACAATTGTAAGTGCGAATGTTATAGTAAAAGAAAAATATCCCTACTAATACTATCATGTTTGTGCATCTTTATGTTAAACTTAAAAAAAACAAAATGATATTATTTAGCTTTTTATTAGAAAAAAAAAGGCCATGTATAATATAATTTTAATTAAATTTTTTTTTTTAAAACATGAAAATCTTGTTACAAATATTTAAATTAATTTAAAAATTAGTATATATAAATATAATTTATTTGGAGGTATTATATATCTACCTAATTTTAAGGTTATATTAAATGGAGTTTATGGGAGTGCGTATTCATTTTTATTTGTTAATAAAAAAAACTAATATCAATTAAAATAATATATGTAATAATAATGATATTATAATTGTAGATATAAAATGAGATATTCTTGTTCTACATATTATTAGCATTTATCATGGGATAAAAATAATATTTTATTTGTATTTATATCTTTAGTTTTTTGCTAGTTAGAATCATAACGAAGAACAACTCTAAACTAATAATATTTAAATATAATAATGGACTTAAAAACACATTCTTATTTTTAACTAGAATCTATCTTATAATATAAAATCTTCTCTTCTTAAATTAAAAACAAATATATTTAAGAATAATTTTTTTAGTAATATATTTTCTTAATATTTTGTATATTTTTATGTTTAATTTTATTTATTCTTTTTCTTCTGTATCTTTTTTTATATATTTCTATTAATAATATCACTTTTTAAAAAAAGATATAATATTATAATAATTATTTTTCGAATTTATTCTTAAATACGTGAATAATTAAAATAATATATATATATATATATATATATATAATTGTCCTTAATATTGTAATTGATGATAACTTTTTGATGTAAAAGAAACTCTTTAATCAAGTTTAAGAAACTCGATTATTCTTAAAGAGTTTAGATGAGTTGAAAAAGTTGTATTTGATTTTTATTCCAATACAATATAAAATTGTTGAATGCACATAAATAATTACTATCGTGTATGAAATATATCGATAAATTTGAAAAAATAAAATAGTCATTTGAAAAAAATTGTACCAGTAAAAAATATTTGCAAAACGTAAAGCCCAAAAGGGCAGAAAGGCCCAAATGTAAAGAGGAAAGTGTATTAGTCTCATTTGACGTTGTTAGGGTTTTTGCCTTTATCTTTTACCTCGTCTATTTCAGAAACCCTAATTACTCAAATATTCTGAGAACACATCACACTACCACCAACTTCGCCTCTCCCACTCCCGGAGCCATGGCCGCTGCCGACTCCTCCTCCGCCGCGGCTCCGTCGCGTCAGCTTTCTCAGAAGGAGACGGACATTCAGATGATGCTCGCCGCCGACGTTCACCTTGGCACTAAAAACTGCGACTTTCAAATGGAACGCTACGTCTTCAAGCGCCGCACGGACGGTAACAGTTCTTCTTTTATTTTTATTCTTTCATTTATTTTTTCGCTTTTTTAAACAGTGCCTATTTACGTGTTCTTAGTTTTATTTTGTTTTTTATATAATAGAATATGTGAGTAATGTAATTAGGCTTCATTTTAAAACAGCATGCTCCAATTAAATTCATGTAATTATACATAATCGATTAAATGTAGAAATCTAGATACCTTTGACGCTCCTTCATATAGCTTGTAGTAATGACTATTTGTGTTTTATGAGCGGTCTAAAAGTTGGTAACTTTTGGAAAGTCCAGTGATCTATGCCTTTTGATAATTGTATGGATTTTTAATATTTCTGAATTAGGTTTTCTTTTGTGTGTAATTTAGGCCATTGGATACATTTCTCCTAAAGTATTTACAGAGGAAGAAAACAAGAATGTTAAATGAATTGAGTTTCTCAATAAGTTAAAATCAGCTTATGAGATTTTATAGAAGCACTTTCATTTTGAGTTTTATTATCCAATGTGTGTATATAAACTAGTTTATCCGAACAAAGCACTAGTTTGACTCTTGTTTTTAAGTGATTGGATGTGCGCTGTGCAAGACCCTGATATTGGTGGAAGGTGTTATTAAGCAGAAAGGGCTAATTTAATTACTGATTTTAATGTTATATATATATATATATATATATATAGTTTTTCTGATGGTTTCCTTTGGTTGATATTTTGGTTTATGATTTTTCAGGTATATACATAATTAACCTTGGCAAAACATGGGACAAGCTCTATCTTGCTGCTAGGATTATTGTTGCTATAGAGAACCCTCAGGATATCATTGTTCAGTCTGCCAGGCCTTATGGTCAGAGGGCAGTTCTTAAGTTTGCTCAGTACACTGGGGCTCATGCAATTGCAGGAAGACACACTCCTGGAACATTCACTAATCAGATGCAGACATCCTACAATGAGCCTCGTCTTTTAATTCTAACTGATCCAAGAACAGATCATCAGGTTATTTACCACTTGTAGAAGTTTGAAACAGAGAGTATTGCAGGCATACTGAGGATGTTTTGAGTATCTGATAGTAATAGATATTGACAGTTATATTGTTCATCTTCTGCCACAATTTGCCTTATGTTATTGATCTGTGTGCAGCCTATTAAAGAAGGTGCTCTTGGAAATATTCCAACTATTGCCTTTTGTGACACTGATTCTCCAATGCGGTATGTTGACATTGGGATTCCAGCCAATAACAAGGGAAAGCATAGCATTGGTTGTCTCTTTTGGCTTTTAGCTAGAATGGTGCTTCAGATGCGTGGTACTATTCGTCCGGGTCACAAGTGGGATGTAATGGTAAAATACTTTTACTTTCCTGAATAGAATGGTGGTTGTTCCATAGCTCTTGAGAAGTTTTAGTTTGTTAATAGATGTGTATACTCTAGTAAGAAATTAGTATTATATGGGGGTTTCCATCGATTTTTAGATTAGTAACCTCTCAACTTTTCTTATGCAGGTGGATTTATTCTTCTATAGAGAACCTGAAGAGGCCAAGCAACAAGAGGAAGATGAAGCACCACCTGCCCAAGATTTTGCCATTGACTATGCTGCTGGCATTAGCAGCTTCCCTGCCGAAGGCCAATGGCCTGCTGCACACGAGCAACCCTGGACTGAAGAGGCTCCACAACCAATACCAGCAGTTCCTACTAACTGGACCCCTGAAACAGCTGGTACGACTATGAATTATTGAATTGATTTTGGTTCCTTGCTTCTTAATGATGACGATGATGTTAGGCTAGGTTTTTATACACGATGATTGATGATAAGTTCAGCTTGGTCATTTAGCTTGTTATTTGGACATAAAGCCTATTTATGTTGGATTTGAATTTGAAATAATGCAATTTGCGTCTCCCTTCTTTATATAAATTGAATGCAAAAATGTTATTGTTGTCTGACTTTGCTATGTGCCAGTTACCTTCAATTATTATGATGCAACATTCCCTCTTCCCTTAATGCAAAAAGATTAAGAGAATCTTTGACACCGTGCAGTGATACGATGATGGGGCAGGCTCATATGCCTTTTCTATTAACATCTTCATATATTCCCTGTCCAATTTATGTACTCACGATCTGTTTGACTAAAGTTTCACTTACAGTTGCAGGGGATTGGGGTGAGTCTGTTCCTGCTCCTGCTCCGGTTCCTACTCCGGTTCCTCAAGATGCTGTGCCTCCAGCTCAAACTTTTCCTGCTACTGGCTGGGATTAGCTTAAAGGGAGATTTTGATTCCATGGTTTTAAAACTATAGTTTTTCTTTCCCTCGGCTCAGAAATTTCCCTTCGGAGATTGTGTTAGAAAAGAAACTATCATTTGCTTCTCAGTAAAATTTTGTTGTTTGTTGTGACATATTTGTAGGATTTATGTACCGTTTGCTGCAAGTGTTGCATTATGAGCATAAAATTAACTGAAGCTGTGAAAGTAATTAATTTAACAAGGGGTTGTTTTCAATTAAATAATCACTTGAATCAGATAATATATATATATATATATATATATATATATATATATATATATATATATATATATATATATATATATATATATTAGTTTAACTTTAATTTAATATTAAAAATGAATTGAACTAAACTAATATTTCGCAAATAATTTTATTTTAATTTAATATACAATTTAAATTAACTTAATGAATTTATGATTATATAATTGGATTAGGGAGGAATTTTTTTGTGATACAAATTTTTATATACAAGTTTGTTTAAACAATTTATATTAAGGTAGAAATTAGAATAATAAAATGGCTCGTTCTATTTTGTCTATTCATCGATTGGTACCGAAGATTTTAAATTGACAAGCATTGTTTCGTAGATATTCATTGTTAGTCACGATAATATAACAACTTATAATTATCATATATATTACTATATTTACGGGTATTTGTCATTTTTTTTTGTTGCCTTTATATCTATTGGTGTTGGAGTTATAGTTCCAACATGCAATTACATTGTTTTGTTCGTCTCGAGTAAATGATTAGTATAGATTAAACTATCATTATACTGTTGAGATCATTGCGATCAGAGTCTTTACATGCTTACATGCTCTCACACGTAGTTCGTAATTTTCGCGCAAAAACCCTTTTTCGTTGTGTGTGACAAGCTTTTTTTTACTGCGATAATAGTCACTAAATTCGTCATATTTCCCTCTCTATATATCTGGCCTTGTTGGTCTAATAAGAGCTCTTTGTTTTTTTTTTAGGGTTTTTCTCTCTTTTCTTTCATGGCTTCTTTCAATATCTATTTTTCTACCGCCAATCTGACACTGTAGTCTATACTAATTACGTGAATGTGTATTTATCTATTGATAAATTAGATGACACTAATTATGCGACTTAGGCGTCACACATTAAAGTTCCCGTTGGATGAAAATTGATGTTTAGTTATGCATCATTCTCAAGTCTACCATTCATTCTTCTTTAAAACAAATGTTTCGCGCCTATAAAATGTGTTTCGATGTTTGAGAATAAGCAAAATTATTATACACTAATGACAATAAATGTTTTTACGGTGTTTGTCACAATCTTCTCACTAATGTTCATCAAAGTCATGGCCAAATGGTTAAATTTTTTGGTAAAATTCATGTTCTTCTTCATGACTTAATGAGTTATTACCTCTTGTATCTACTCCTGCCCAAGAATTAGAGCAATTATCAAAGTTCTTCATGTTGTTGACATTACATGGACTTGCTAATGAATATTCACAAGTCAATGATTAAATTTTTGGTTCCCCTGTTATGCCGAATTTTACTTCTACTTATTCCACCCTTTTGCATGTGTCAAGTAAACACATCATTGATATACCTGCTTCCGCCAATGATTCCTCTACTTTGGCATCTTAATGAGATGATCATAATCGCTCTCGCAAGCTAGAAAAAGGGTGTCACAAGTGCAATAATTGTCACAAGTTAGGCTACACGATTGACAGGTGTTATGCATTATATGATCGTCCTCCTCGATCTACTGCAGTTGTCCAAACTAATCCTCCTTCACAATCATCTGTTGTGGATCCTACTTCATCTTATACCACAGACAAATTTGCTATTTTAAATTAATTTTTTAAATAGTATGAGGATCTTCAAAAATTAAATTTATTTTTTAAATAGTACGAAGATCGTCAGAATTCTAGTTCCACTACTTCTGCTTATGTTGCTTGCACAAGTACATATTTTATTAGCCTAACTCAATCTTTTTCTCTCAAACCTGGGTTCTTGACTCAGGTGCCACAAATCATATTACTGGTAACAAATCTTTATTTTTTTTCTTTATCCTCTCCGGATAATTTATCTTCAATTACAATAGCTGATGATTCTAGGGTCTTGTCTCATGGTGTTGGTATTCTTAATCTTTTTACATCTTTATCCATTGATAATGTTCTTTAAGTCCGTAAGTCTCCCTTTAACTTATTATCCATTAGTCGTCTAAGTCATTCTCTTGATTGTGTTATTTCTTCCACAAAATATTATGTTTGTTTACAGGACCAGATGTGAGTTTCACAGTCTTTATCATCTCCACCCTTCTACACATGTTGGCACAGTTATGAAGTCTCCATCTCTCCTCCATGCTTAGCTAGGTTATGCTAGTCTTGCCAAATTGCAACAACTTGTTCTAAGTTTGTTTAATTTATCTAGTTTGTTATGTAAGTTATGTCAATTGGGGAAACATAGTCGTAGTTCATTTCCTTATGGTTCCTCACAATGTATTTTGTCCCTTTTTGCATTAGTTCATTCTGATATTTTTGGACCTAGTTGTATTAAGTCCAATTTAGGTTTCCAGTATTTTGATACTTTTATTGATGATTATTCCATATGTACTTGGTTGTTTTTAATGAAAAATCATTCTGAGTTGTTTTCTATATTCCAATCATTTTTTAATGAAATTAAAACTCAATATGAGATTTTCTATTTGAACTTTGCGAAGTGATAATGGTCGTGAATACCTTTCTCATTCTTTTAAATATTTTATGGTTTCCCATGACTTTCTTCATAAAACTCTATGTACTTATACATCTCAACAAAATGGGGTGGTTGGGCGCAAGAATAAACATTTTATTAATACAACTCACACTCTTTAATTCATGTGAGGTTCCTCAACATTTTTGGGATATTATTCTTACTACATGTTATTTTATTAATCGCATGTCATCTTTTGTTTTAAATAATAATATTTCTTATTCTCTTTTATTTCCTCATGAACTTTTACATCTTTTATCTTTTAAAGTTTTCGGGTCTATATGTTTTATTCATAATTTTAGTTCTGGTCTTGATAAGTTATCTCCTAGATTACACAAATGTGTTTTTTTAGTATTTACTCGATCACAAAAAGGATATAAGTGTTTCTCTCATTCTCTTAACCGTTGTTTTATTTCTACATATGTCACCTTTAATGAGTATTTCTTTTACTTTATGTGTCTTTCTTCTTCATGTGTGGCTCTATCTGTTATAGTCAATATTCCTGTTGTGTGTGATCCTCTTATTATGCCTAGTCCACCTTCGGATTCTCCTCCGCCACCACCACTTCAGGTTTATAATCGAAACCAGCGATTCTAGCAACTACAAAATGACTCCCTTCTAGTCTCAACTCCTTTGTTTCCTCTAGCTCTAACAACTAAGTTTGACATTCCAATTGTCCCCCGTAAAGGTATACGTTCTACCAATAATCTCTCTCTTCATTATAATGTTTTGAGTTACCATAAATTATTTCCACCTTTTTATACATGTCCTTTCATTTATTTCTTCTGTGTCAGTTCCCAAATCCCTAAGTGATGCCTTAGCCCATCTTTGTTGGCGTCAGAACATGCTTGATGAACTGAGTGCTCTTCAAAATAGTGGAACTTGGGAGCTCATTCAATATGACTTTTGTTCGCTTATTCATAGCCATGACTCCTCTTCAACAAAGACCTCTTTACCAACTAGATGTGAAAAATATTTTTCTTAGTGGCAGTGGCGGATCTTCTTGGGAGCTGAGGGGGGCCGTGGCCCCCCAAAGTTTTGTAACTCCCATGTAATTAATGATTTTGGCCCCCCCAAACATAATGAGTATTTAATATATTTACTTGTATATTTACAATTTTATCCTCTCAGCCCCTCCTCAGTTTTGTAACTTTTATATAATTTATGATTTTGTTTCCCTCAAACTTAACGATAATTTAATATATTTAAGTATATATCTACAATTTTATCTTTTCAACCTTTCATATTCTTTCTTCTTTTTATATTTATTTATTATTTATTAATAATATATCATTTGGCCCTCCCAAGATCAATGGTCAAGATCCGGTAGGATCCGGTAGGATTGGTGGAGATTTATAGGAAGAAATTTTATATGGAGCAACCTCCAGGTTTTGTTGCTCATGGGGAGTCTTTTGGATTGGTATGTCGTCTTCACAAATCTTTATATGGCCTAAAATAGTCTCCTAAGGCTGGTTTGAAAAATTTAGCAGTGTTGTTCAACAATTTGGTATGACTTGCATTGAGGCAGATCATTAAGTCTTTTACTGTCACTCAAGTGTTGAGTGTATCTATTTAATAGTTTATGTTAACAATATTGTTCTTACAAGAGGTGACCACCATGACATATCCTAGATGAAGTAACACCTTTGTCACCACTTTCAGACCAAAAATCTTGACAAACTTAGATATTTCTTGGGGATTAAGGTAACACAATCTAATAATGGTATTGTTATATCTCAAAGAAAGTATGCATTGGATATTTTAGAGGAAACTGGGTTTATGAACACAAAATCTGTTGACACACCTATAGATCACAACTCCTACCTGATCAGGGGAGCCTCTCTCAAATCCTGAGAAGTAAGAAGATTAGTTGGAAAATTAAACTATCTTACTATTATTCGTCCTGACATTTCCTTTGCAATCAGTGTAGTGAATCAATTTCTTAATGTCTCATGTGCAGATCATTGGAATGAAGTTATCCGTATATTAAAGTATATTAAAGGATCTCATGGAAAATGTTTGTTATATGATCATAATAACCATGTTAAAGTTGTTTTTTATTCAAATGCTGATTGGGTAGGATCTCCTTCTGATAGAAGATCTACTTTCGGATACTGTGTTTCTATTGAAAGTAACTTGATATCTTGGAAAGGCAAGAAACAAAGTGTTGTGACAAGATTTAGTGCAAAAACATAATATAAAGTTATAACCTCAACCACTTGTGAACTTGTTTGACTTAAATAATTACTGAAAGAGTTGTAATTTGGAGATGTCATTTAAATGATATTTATAATATTAGCTATAATAATGTTTTTCATGAAAAAATCAAACACATTGAAGTTGACTCACTAGTACAAAATAAGACTTTTATGTTTGTTATTTTAGTATTTTTATGTCAAACACAAGTTCGACGTTAATAGGGAGACGTAAGTTTACGTCAGATATAATCATCAAAGTAAATTTACGTCGGATCTAGAGCCTAATCGACGTAACTTATGTCGGACCTGGGGTATAAACAACGTAAATTTACGTCGGATATGTCCTAGACTTGGCGTAAATTTCATCATTTTTTTAATATTTGATTTGTTTTGTCTTACGGCCAGTCAAATTCCATATTTTCAATAGACAATAATTCAAAACTAAACTAATACAAATACTAGCTAAACTATTTAAAAGGTAAACATTATAAAGTTAAATTAATACAAAGTCTAAACTAGTACAAAAATAAAAGTTAAACTACATATTAAGTACTAGAAATACATATTAACTACATAATACAATATAAACATTAACTTACAAACTAAGTACTAGAAATACTTGATAATGGAGAATGGTGGATATTGAAATACCTGAAATATTAATTTGACTTCTATTAACATATAATACGCATAAAGGTAAATGAACTTAATAAATATTGAAAACAATTACCTCCGTCTAAGAATCAGTTATACCTGCATAAATTATGACTCTCATCCAATACATGATATAGTAGTATCATGTTTATTTCACTGAAATTGAGAAACAAAGCATAACATAATGTTATTTTCAAAATTTAAATACAAGAGTTTAGATATTATAGTAATATAATATAATTTTTTTCTCTTTTCATTACTTTTGTCTATTACATGTATTTATGAGTATATTTTTCCCTTCCTTTTTTATATGTTGTGCATCTAAATCTGACATTGGAGTCAAAACTTATCTTTCTTCGAACATTTTTCGTTTTCTTTTCATTATAAAACCCTAAACCTTATATACTGTAGTATACAAACAACAACAAAAACACATAGAATTCAAACGCATAAACTAATAATTCACTCAAACGTAAAAATAGATAATCACAAATTATAACAATTCAATTTCAATAACAATCTAGTGGAGACAGTCAATTTTAACATAAAAGAAGAGATGAGACACATAGAACACTAACATCAAATATACAAAAAACGCTCTAAAACTCGAATTCAATTGGAGAAAAACGTCAATCACCACAAATGAGACACAATGTAGGTGTTTTCGTCATTCACTGTGGTCGGAATGTACCTTGAGAGGAGCTGGTTTGGTCACTACCACCATCATCACTCAAAAACCCTCGCACCTGGGAGGAAAAAAGGAGCCCTGGAGCAATTAAAATACGACTTTTATATCAGACCATAAGAGTTGACATAAAAGTCATTTTTATGTCAGTTAGAGATCCATCCGACGTAAAAAATAGTTTTTACGTGACCCTCTGAGAGGTCCAACAAAAAAGTAACGTATCGTATTTACAAAAATGTCACCATGTTTTTTTTTAAGTCGGTTATTTTTTGGTCTAATGAAAATTTGGTAACGTAAAAAACTCATTTGGCACTAGTGATTGTCATTTTTTTTTTTTAATATTGTCGTTGAAGATATTAAGATGGAATTATTAACTCTAATGAATAATTAGTAAATATTTAAATATTTACGAGGACCTAATTGATTATATTTATAATAAACTTAATATATATGACACAAGTTACATATTGTTAATTATTATTAAATATTGTTAGTTGCAATATCTTATATTTATCATATTTATGTGTATTTATCATATTTTCAACGTATTACTCTTTGATATTATAGATTTACCAACTTGGTCCACCATACAATCGCTTAAATTCGGCCTAACTTCTGTTATGGAATAAGCTTGGTCAACACTTTTACAAAATCATATTTTATTAAAATGTTTAGGTCATAAAAAAAATTAGGCGTAATAAGTTATTTTATTTATATAATTATAAATAATAGTTTTACGCTAGTATCATCAAATTACTTTTTTAAAAAGTATTAAAATCACATTTTTTTATATTTTAATTTATATATGTTTTAAAATCTTTATTTTTGTAGACTTATTTTTTGTATTTTGATATTTCCATATAAATATTCTAACTTTATTATTATAAATTATAATTGACAGAATATTGTCTCAAATTAAAACTTACACATATTTTTTTCTCTTAATATGCTAACTTTTGTATTTTCCTTACAATTTAAGTTTTAAGTTATGTTTATTTTCTTATTAATAAGATAAATACTCCAATTATATCATCATAAATCAATTACACATTGATGATATATTACAATAAACTAAAAATCTATTCCATATATTTATAAATGTAACACATCAATTAAAAACAATTACTATTCATTTTTTTATCACATTTTTTGTGGGGGTTTAATAAGACAAGAAGAAAAAAAAGTTAATTTTTAATAAAAATAAAATTACTTTTATTTCGTTAAAATAAAAATCCGTATGCTAGCATATCTTTATTCGTTATTTTTTTTAAAATCTATGAGCGTTAATATTTTAATATATATATATATATATATATATATATATATATATATATATATTAACTTATATATAAACTAACATGTACAAATTATATATTATTAAACTTCTTAAATATATGTTTATTTATTTATTTATTTTAGGGATAAGTACATCTTTATTTTCTACAATTTAAATTTTTTTTACCTCGCATACTTCTAAATGTTTTGAAAATCTGAAATTTTATTTTAACTTATATTTAAATTTAATATTTAGCTACCGTGAATTATTTTATAAAAGGATTAAATTCACAAAATATGTAAGTTTGACTTTCCTAATATCTATATTTAATGATTATTTTTATTTTCAAAATTTTTTAAAAGGATAAAATTCATATTTTTTTTTATTTGAAAATTAATTAATTAACTTTTATAATAGAAGAAATAACTAAAATTGAGTTTCACACACAAAATACAAGGACTAAAATATATTTAATCCTTTATTTTATTTTTTCTCTACTGTAAAAAAATTTCCTCTAAAACATATTCTTATTACATTCATTCTAACTTTTTATTTTGAGAAAATTTCCTTTTTTTGAGCAAATTACGTGAAATTTTCTTTATTCCTTTTTAATACAATTTTTTCTATTAAATATTTAGCCAGATAATAATAATGTTAACAGTAAAATTCTTTCTACGAAATTTTACTCAATTATATAAAATCCATTTGAACTCAAGTTTGATTAAAATAATTTCTGACAACTCAACTTTATTTTTAGTGATAATTGTTATCAAATTTTATTAATCATTTATTAATTTAATTAAAATGACACATAAAAATATAGTTTTTTCTAATTACGTGCATCGCCGATTCATGCCATGCGATCCACGAGCTAATAAACGTGACAAATCATTAATTTTTTTATTCATTTATTTTGAACGCGAATTTTTGTAAAAATAAATAAATCGATTCATATTACTTGTTGACTGATTAATAACATATTCGTAGATGTTTTAAATATTTATAATTAATTTTAAAATTTAAATATAATTAAATTCATTAGTTTCTATAACTTGGATGATGATGACTCTCATTAATAAAAACATTTATCCTAATCATATTTTTTTCATCTCCACGTTAGTTTAAAATCGCTAAAAAGTCATAATTTGTGATGTTTTTATTAATTTTGAAAATTAAATTACAAAAAATGTCCACGATCAATAACCCAATTGCAATTTTTAAAAAGATTAAAATCTGATTAAAAATGTTCAAAGTTTAATAACATAATAAGTAAAGAGAATAAAACAATAATTTTTAAACATTAAAATATTTTTTTCTTTTAAGTAAGGGCAATAAGTTGAGAAGATTTATTTTTTTTAGGAGAAAAAAGAAAAAGAAAAAGAAAATAAAATAAATCAATTTTGTTTTGTAAATAAATTAAAATAATTGCTCTAATTTCATACATGCCCCGTTCATACCGTGCGATGCACGAGTCGTTATTATAGTAATAAATAAACGAATCAATGAAACATAAAATATTCAACTTTTTTTTTTTTTTTTTCTGTTCATTTGTTTTTTTCATCACCCCAAGCCAAAGTCATATATATGCCATGAAGCCACCAACACACCAACACAAAACTTCACACCCTTCAGTGGATCTACCATTCTCCAACCTTCTTCTCCACTCATCCGTATCTCTCTCTAGCTGTAGCTGTATTCCCCCTTTCTCTCTCTAGAACTCACATTTCTGTATGCTGCACCGTTTCTCGTGTTCATTGTCCTGTGTTTTTCTTTTTTGTTTCTTGCACTTAAAATGTGATTTTGATTGGAATTCTGAGGATCCTTAAGCTAATTTGATCTCGGTTTTCTTGTTTTGTGTTGAAGGGGAGAATTTTGTTTTCGGTGGTGAGTTTGTTAAGCAATGGCACGCAAGAAGATAAGAGAGTATGACTCCAAGAGGTTGTTGAAGGAGCACTTTAAGAGACTCTCTGGCCACGACTTGCCCATCAAGTCTGCACAAGTAAGCATTATCTTATGGGGTTGTTTTTTAATTTGCAATGAAGGAAAATGTTTGAATATATAAATTATGCTTCGAATTTATAATATACAATTTTAATTGTGATATCGGGTTATTTTAAATTATTGCTAATTTATTTAGACAACAATTAAGTTTAAGTCAGATATTGAAGCAGAGAGAGTGAAAGCTTCACTCTCTACGCGTATTATAATTTATGATAAAGAAATAAGTTTCCAAAATAGTTTCTTATGTTCTTGGTTGTTATCTTATACCTTAAAAAATTCTGTTGGTTTAGAGTCACATTCGAATCACACATTAGATTTTTAATCCATTGCTTGATTATAGGACTGTATGTTTATCTGAAGCCAATGTAATATCTCAAACACCTATTAAGTTTTGTCCTAGATCATGATAACTAGTAAATCTGGTGCATGCCTCACGGGATTGAACTTCCAACTAGTCTTACCTTGTCTATCCACCTAATTGCACTGCATTAGTCAGATAAAATCTTCAAATCTTCCAGCTTACTGACTTATTGTATACAATGTTATTATTGTATTACATTTGTTTCCTGAGATGAATAAATTTAAACAGAACATTATATGATTGGTATCATCTCATGATGTGCTTTGTGCAAATTATGTGTATAAGTTTATGCCTGAATAGATCTTGTTGATATGGTGTATCTTCAATATGAAAATTTAATCACTGTTGTAAGCTGAGTAAGGACTATATGATGTATAACTGATTTGTGGAAAAGTTCAAATTTGTATCTTACTAGTCAATCAGCAGCATGCATATCAAACATGAATAATAAATTTGTTGTGTTCTATTCCTCAGGTTACAGAATCCACCGATTTCAATGAATTACCAGAGAAAGAACCCTGGCTTTTATCTTCAAAATTGGTTGTGAAACCAGACATGCTATTCGGAAAGCGTGGCAAAAGTGGTTTGGTTGCCTTGAATTTGGATTTGGCAGAAGTTGGTTCTTTTGTGAAAGAGCGTCTTGGCAAAGAGGTGTTTTTTTCTCCTCTTTCCCTCCAAACCTAAAATCATTTTCCCTTTTCTTTTTACTTTCTATCCACCATTTAAGTGTTTGGTCATATATTTCTTGATGATGCAGGTTGAGATGGGTGGATGCAAAGGGCCCATAACAACTTTCATTGTTGAACCTTTTATCCCTCACAAGGAGGAGTTTTATCTTAACATTGTCTCAGAGAGACTAGGGAACAGTATAAGCTTTTCTGAATGTGGAGGAATTGAAATTGAGGAGAACTGGGATAAGGTGCTAAAATAATTTACCTTACATATTAATTACTTGAAGTAAATTCTTCTCATACCTTCCTCATAATTCCCATAAGCTACAAAGTGGTTCGTTCATATTTCAGGTCAAGACTGTATTTATGCCAACAGGACTGTCTCTTACACCAGAGAGCATTGCTCCACTTATTGCAACCCTTCCCTTAGAGGTATGTTAATCTTAGTAATTTGTTAGATATTGAAAGAGACAACTTTCTTCCTTTTTTTGCTTATTCAGTAGGACCATGAGATTAAATGCTATTTTGTTGGCGGACACTTTGTTTCAATTTATTTTTTGATAAGCAATTTGTTTCAATTATTTATTGGTACTCCATTCATGCTTACAGATCAGGGGAGAAATTGAGGAATTTCTCAAGGTGATTTACACTCTATTCCAAGGTATATTACAATATATGCATTTACTTACATTATATGTGCCTGTGAAGAAAAACTTCATGAATGATAGTATTTAAACTTACAGTTTTAAACATATTCCTTTTTTTTTCGTCTTGTCTTAGACCTGGATTTCACTTTCTTGGAGATGAATCCTTTCACTTTGGTCAATGGGAAGCCTTATCCTCTGGACATGAGAGGCGAGCTTGATGACACTGCTGCTTTCAAGAACTTCAAGAAGTGGGTTTCTTTCCTCTAAAGAATATAATCTTTTTAAAGGATGAATATCATATCTCTTGGTTCTAATTCCTCATCTATAATTGAATAATGTTTCATATTAAAAAAATGTAAATCATGCATGTTATTATTCACAGATGGGGAAACATCGAATTTCCGTTGCCATTTGGAAGGGTTATGAGTAATACAGAGGCTTTCATTCATGGATTAGATGAAAAGGTGAGCAGATGGACTTTTCTCCTGTATCTTGAATCTGATTCAATGCATTAATAACTTTGTCCATAAGCTTCAGATCGTAATCTTCTTGCTCCGTAGCAAGTATTGCTAACTATTAACATATCGTCATCAGATCTTTAGGTCAACTGAACTCCTTGTACTGATTTTTTATCATGGTATTAACACTTCTAGTAATCATGACACTACAAATTATTTTCTTAATAATTTTATGTTGTTTTTTGGCTTATTTTCTGCTCCCAGACAAGCGCATCCTTAAAATTCACAGTGCTAAACCCGAAGGGCCGAATCTGGACAATGGTAGCTGGAGGAGGTGCTAGTGTCATCTATGCTGACACGGTGTGTTTCTGTTACTTTAAAAGTTAAATTAAGTGCTAATCTATATTCTATTGTAACATCGAGCAATAGATTTCTTTCTTTTACATCCTAATGTATTAAAATAGGTTGGAGATCTTGGTTATGCTCCTGAGCTTGGAAACTATGCAGAATATAGTGGTGCACCCAAGGAAGATGAGGTCCTGCAGTATGCCAGAGTTGTGATTGATGTAATCAATTTTTATTCTCAAACATTTTTTTGTACTTGTTATCAATTTATGGATACAATACATGATCACCTTTGTTTGGAGTATGTGAAAATGGCTTATCAGATATGGCAATCTCTTTGCAGTGTGCAACTTCAAATCCTGATGGCGAAAAGCGAGCCCTTGTAATAGGTGGAGGAATAGCTAACTTTACAGATGTTGCTGCTACATTCAGCGGCATAATCCGTGCTCTGAAGGAGAAGGTGAGGGCCATATATCATCATGAAGCTTTTCTCATGATATATTAATTTGTTTATGGTAGAGTTAATTGATTGTTGACCTATTACAAACCAGGAACAAAAGCTAAAAGAAGCAAAGATGCACATCTATGTGAGGAGGGGAGGTCCCAACTACCAGAGGGGTTTAGCAAAAATGAGAGCCCTTGGGGAGGAGATTGGCATTCCCATTGAGGTTATATAACTAATTAATTTCTTTATTGATTGCATTAAGAAAAAAAAAATGAACTGTTGCTTATAGTTTTCAAAAAGGAACTTTCTCTGATCTATACTTTGGTATCTTTGCAGGTTTATGGACCTGAGGCAACAATGACTGGTATATGCAAACAGGCAATCCAGTACATCACTGCTGCTGCTTAATTATCCATTCTTAGCCCAGTGTGAACTTCTTTTACAAGTATTATCATGGCTAGTTTGAAGAGATTGCTCATTCTTAGTTCTATCTCCAACTCTCAGAAATGATTACTTTGGTGAGAGTGTAGGCTATTATAAATTAGTCATTCAGTCATCCAATAAAGTGGTCAAGAGTGCTTTGTATCGTCTAGAATTCTTATAGTACATTCTTGAGACAATAAAATGGTACAAGTGTAATTGTAGTTGTGTCATGTCAAGTCAAGCTGTAATGTAATGTTGCTCGGATTCTCTTTCCACTTAATGCCAACTTAAAATTTCTTCTTGAAAGGGCATCTCAGCATGCTTGTTTATACATGCAATAGTGTATAAATATAATTCACTCTCTTCAATATTAATCAATTCAAAATCATACATAAAAATAATATTTTTTTAATAAAGCAACTCAGGCAATGTAGTTAACAATATCCATCGTAGATGATGTTGAGAGTTTTCATTTTACCTTTTGTTAACTTTATTGAATTCTCCGAAGAAAAAAAAAAAAAGATGCATGCTTGAGTTATTTTGAGGAGAATATTTGTTGATACCCACCAAACACGGCAAAGCTTTAAGAAAACCAAAATTATAAAATGTGTAAAAGATATTTCAAATATGCTAAACATTAATTTGGAGTAGGCTTTTTTTAAAGTCTACCAGGATGTGTCCCCACACTCAGTGGATTATTGTCCAATTTCTACCTTCAGTAGTGGGGTACGGTACTAATTCTAGCTGGGGTGTATTATGACTTATACTAACATTCCTGGCCACAATGAAATGTTAAGTGAGATTTAAATCATATAATGTAATAGCTTATAACGTTTGCCAGCCGAATATTGACTATTAAGGACAAATTTCTCCCTAAGATAAAATTAACTCATGCACATCTTAAAAAAAAACATTTAGAGAAACTATATAAAAGAACTTCTACAAACTAGCTTATACATAAGCTTAAACTTATGGAGAAGAATTACTATACATGAATATAAGGAAAATACTTAGATGCAGCGTATAGTGATACTGACCGTATCTCTTATAAATATACGTGTATTTTGATAGAAGACAATATTATTTCTTAGAAAAATAAGAAACATTTTTGTTAACTAGTGTAGATAAAACAAGTCTTTCAAAAACTAAAATATTGGGAAATTCAACAAATAAGAATTTAGTGTAATAACTAGACAGTTTCTTTACATTCTTTTTAATCTTATATTTTATGATAGAATCAAACACAGCAATTGATTGTCATCTTGTTAAAAAGAAATTGTTGTTCAAGAAAATTTTCATAGAACTTATCAACTTGAAGATGTTTTGGCTAAATTCGTGAGATGGTCTCAACAATTTATGTATATTCTAAGATTGGTACATATCATTTGTATACCGTAGATTGAGGAGAGTATTAGAACAGTTTTAACTTGTTAGGTTAACTCATCTTGTGTCAATCTTTGAAAAAAGTTAAAAAGTTGTTTCTGTGGTACCTATCCATCACTCAGGTGTAGTCTATTCATATCTTCTCTTTGTATCTCTGATGCAAGGAATCATGTATAAATACATGAATCAGCTGAGAGATGTATTAATCTTTTAAGCATTCGTTCTTCATCATATTTTTCATTCTAAAGAAGAAGTTTGAGGTTGTGGTGCAATTCTTTTTGCAGGTTTATCAAAAACCGTAGAGGGTCAAGAAGAAACATAGTTTCAAATTTGAGTATAACATCAAATCTCCGTAGTTATTTACTGTATCATAATAGTTTCAAATAAAGAAATTAAAATCAAGCATAAATTACGATGAACATTACGAGAAGCTATTTATTTTTTCTTTTTGGGTGCTTCCCATAAAATTGTCATGTTAGGTTCTTCAAACGTTAGGTCTAGCAAACCTTGTATTCAAGAGTTTTGAACAAAGGCGCTCGTTTTGCTATCTACAGAATATTACCAGGGTGGTCTAAATTGTTGTTAAAAAGGATTCAGTGGCTCCATAATGCTGATGTGCATCCCTCAGCAAACAACTAGCGGTGACGATTGCTTTAGAGCTTCTTCAGTGTTGCTTTCAGGTGTGGTTGAAGAGTTATTGTGTTGGTAGCCATCTGAACATCATAACAAAGGACCCCATCAACCAGCTGGAAACATCTTCGTATCTCTTTAACCTGTGTAGAGTGGCATATAGTATTTTAGGGAGTCAATGAGGTATTATTCAATGTGAATTATTATAAGTGGTCAACGATAAATCAATTTATTTAAAAATACAAGTAAACTGAAAAGCCCATTGAATGATTCATCTACCAATGTTTAACAGTCCACAATCCCTCCTTCTCTCTAGTTCTGTTTGCTATAATCATTGCCGTCACAACACTGTCCTCACAACACCAGAAAAATTTATCTCATTAGTAATTTTTAATGTCTTTCTTGATCTCACTCTCTCTCTGTTCACATAGCTAAAACCATATAATCTTCCGTCTGCTTAATTGGAAGGGCTTTCACGATGGTTAATTGTTTTGGCATGTTAGCTAACCATTTGACAACTTAACCCATGGTTGCTTCATAAGTTTTTGCATCAAAGTCACCTCTTACAACACTTCGTTGATTTTATTTTCATCAATTAATAGCTTAAAAGTGTCAGGCATATCGTTTATTGATTATTTTTCTCCAATCATTCCCCTTTGGTATTGTCTACTAGTAGAACTTGATGATTGTCTTTTCCTTTTTGAACTAGAGTTTAGTTCTTCCAAATCTATAATAACATTAAAATCCTCTAAACCTAAAATATATACTTCATTTACTTCTCTAATCATGATCATCCATAGCAGTTTTAGCTCCATGACCAGTAGCCCCATCTTTAGTACACAAGTCCAATGTATCATAGCAATTTGTAACTGCCTTAAATTGAAAATGTATAGCCTCTTTATGAGTCTTGAAAATAATATAAATAAGTTAATACTAATATGAGCAATTACAAATTTGCTTTGAGGAATAACAATATAAAAGACTATTTACATTGACGTATTCATCCCATACTTCATATCATGCCAACCAAATCCACTCTAATCAAAGATGTCACCAATAACACCATATCATGATCTCCAAATTTGATCTTACTTTTAACATTCTTCCAAGTGATTTGGGTTTGAAGTTGGTAAGTAACACTACATTTACATCATTATGTGCTACCCTTTTCTAAACTTCTTTGCTCTTTTCTAAACTTCTTTGCTCTTATTATCTAAGTTCTTTGATCTTTTAATACTTCAGCCAATGAGGAAAAACTAAGTTATTTTACATAGAACATTAATTAAAGTTGGTTGAAGTATTAAGAGATCAAAGCAACTTGGACAACAAGAGCAACGAAACTTGAAAAAAGGGTAGAATATAATCATGCAGTTCTAGTGTTACCCACCAACTTCAAAGCCCAAGTCACTTGTTAGGGACATCCTTGGTCAAAGTGGATTTGATTGTGATGACACTAAACACATGATTACAATAGTTGATGAAAATGTATGTCAATGCAAGTAGCCTTTTATATGGTTATTATTCAAAGTAAATTTGCAATTATCCATATTATTATTGATTTATTTATTTATATTGTTTTCAAGTCACATAAAGAAGCTTTATGTTTTTTATTCAAGACAATTAAAAATTGGGATGATATAGTGGACTTGTGTGCTAAAGACAGGACCTGTGGTCATGGAACAGAAACTACAATGAATGCTTATGATTAGAGAAGTAAATGAAGTAGATTTTATGGGTTTAGAGGGTTTTAATGTCTCTGTAGACTTGGAAGAACCAAACTCTAGTTCAAAAAAAAAAAATACTGACAATCTTCAAGTTCTAGCACAAACTCTCTGGTTCTTTAATATGTATACCTCTCAACTCTTTTGGCATTTTCTTAGATATAAAATCAAAATCTTATTGAATAACTTGGTGAGTCAAATAATATCTTGTTCTCCTACACACTTCCATACTACAACAAAATACAATCTAGACCAACAACATTCCCATTATCCATCCTCTTACAGGTTTCTTTTACGTCCAACCTGAATTCTAAAATATAAATCCAAATTTTATTCATCTTCTTAAATTTCTAGTCCTTCCATATATAACAAGTCAATCTTTGTTCATCATATAAAAACCATAATCCTCACATATGGTGATAAAAAAATTTCTTAAGAAATATTCCAAACATAATCTTTTGACAAATTCAGAAGACGCCTTACTAAGATGGTTGTTTTTTTAAAAGTAAGAAGATAAAGGAACCATTTAATCACTATCAGAATGTAATGTATGTGAACAGTGCAATCATAAACATGAGAAATCAACATTAGTATGATTGCATTTGGCAGATACTAATTTATATTACCTTAGAAGCATTCCCCACTATTTCACTCTGAAGTTGTATTAATTTCTCTTCAAAGCTGTATCTCCCTTTCTGGAAGCACAAAGTGACAAATTATTAGCAGAGAAAGGCAGCAGAAGGGAATAAAAAATGAAAAGGAGGAAAATAACTAACCTCATGGACCTAGAAACAATTAAATGAGCAAGATCTGTATGTTTAAACTATGAAATAATGGAAGGAAACTAAAAATCAAGCCAATATTTGGAAGAATATCTCAACATGACCATGAACCTTATATAAAACGCATTATATAATTTATACATCAATGCACATAGAAAGAAACTTATGAAATTGCAAAATCTATCTTGCAGACAACTGGTGGTAACAATGGATTGAATGCAATGTTAGGAAAATTTGGACTCAAAATGTAGCAAAAGAGGTGGACTGTTTTGCCATTGGAGTTTATTTGTGGCAAAGTTGAAAATAATAAACATGTCCTTGTTATAGTTTGACAAGTAATGAAAAAATTCGAGGATTTGGGCTTGATCAAAAGGGTATTATTTATCAAATTTAAACTGAGGGAGTTATGTTAATTAAATGGAGCTTCTAAACACACCATTCCTACATCATACAATACAGACACAAGTATGAAGCGAATTGATCAAAAGAGTGTATCTGTGACAAAAACCAAATCAAATTGAAAAATAGTACCTGAACTTCCACAAGACCATTGCTTTGAGCAATCACAACTTCAATGGTACCATCAGGTTTAGGACGCCAGAATCCACTCTCAGCGTGCATAGGCTCTCCGCAGCTGAGTTTCCATGTCTTCTGAGTGTACCCTATCACAGGCTACACCCATTTCATACACAACCAAACCAAATAAAAAAATTAGTGCACAACCACACATAAAAAGAGAGATTTGATAAGTTAAACTTATGTCCTCACCATATATCATCACAAATGGCTAAACAAATAACGTAAATGAAAAATACTAATAACGTAATCCGATAGTTCATGGCATATAATCAAAAGTTAATTACTTTTCTGTAATAATCACTTTAAACATCATGTTTTGGATAATCTTTAGTTTTTCTTTGCAAGAGTCACAATTTTACTTCTGGAGTCAGATATAAGGAGAAAAAATTTCCTTAGCATATTCAGGATCTGAACTAAGACTGATGGATAAACTTAAACAACCTCGTACTGGTTGTTTTACTTTCAGTGGCGGAATAACTTTTAATTGATTGACTATGTAAAATAATGGTATATAAAAATTAAATTCTGCAAAAATAAAACCCAGTATAAAAAACAGAGAAGTTTAAGAGACCCAGATAGTGTTTTTGGAGAAAGAGAGAGGAAAACCTTGTAGGGGGAATGGGAGAAGTGAATTTCTTCGCCATAGGAGAAGGAATGTATAGTGGGGAAGCCTCCTTCTCCTTGGCCCCTCCAAGTGCCCAGAAGGAATGAGAGTGGTGCCACCGCCGGGTGTATAACCGGCGGCGATGTTGCCGGAGCCTGAGACTCCATTCTAGCATCCATTTTCGTGTTTCTTTGGAAAATGTTCCCGTGACTGTAATATTGTGCAATCCAAAATGGGGCTATTTGGATTCATTGTCGTCGCATGACTTGTCTTGTTATTTTATTTATTTATCCTGTACTTACAAAGCTGATGATACTGTTCTACACTTTCAAAGTTTTTTTTTTTCCTTTCTCAATATTATTTTTTTATTCAATTCCATCTCTTTTTTTAGGGAATAATACGATTTATTTCTATCATGTAACTGAAAGAATATCTTATCACTTTATATGATACAAAAGATATTATATTATTAACTCACTACAAAATAAATCAAATTGATACTTAAAATATTAATAAATAAAATTGAAAAATATAAAGAATAATTTAACATAAATTTATTTAATTTAAACTAAATTATATGTTTATTAAAATAATATTATTAAAATTTGTAAGTTATGAGAAAGAAGAATTAAGAGCTTTGACAAAACTTATATCCGAAAGAATGAAAAATACGAAAAACAAATAAATAAATTAATATATATATATATATATATATAATTTTCTAATAAATTAAATATAAGTTTATTATTAATAAAATAAATTTCATCTAAAATTTTATTATTATTTTATTAAATTGTTATAATGAATTGTTAATTATAGTTTAACTCTGTTTAAAGTAATAAAAATAAGAAATTCGATAGAAAAAAATAAAAAAGTGAAAATGTTTATTCGAAAAGATAAATAAGAAAAAAAATATATATATATATATATATATATATATATATATATATATATATATATATATATATATATATATTGGAACCAAACAATTTTAGTACAAAACTTATTTATTATAAAAAATAAAAATAAAAACTATGTTATGAAAATACCTTCATTTTTATTTAGTTTTTGGCTCAATTTCCTTTTATTTATTTCGGCAAGGTGAAATTAAAAGTTTAAATTTAAATAATTTAAAAAAAAAATTAATATTTTGGTCGATGTAATCAAGGAAGGTTTATATATATATATATATATATTAAAAAACTTGTGAATTATTCAAGGAAAAAATTTATAACTATTAAACCATCAAGCACTATAATAAGTTCTCTGTTTGTTTAAAAGAATTTTTAGTCATTACAATATAATATTGTTTTTTTTTTTTGTTCTTTTAATATTTTCTCTATTTTAGTCCTTAATTTTGATTGTTTTGTTTTTAATGTAAAAAGGAGTTTAATTTAAGATAATTTTTTTCTTAGAGAAGAATCATATGATTTTTTTGGATATTTATATAAGTTTTTCTAGAAATAAATAACATTTTGTTTTTATAAAAAAAATTATTATCATCTTAAATTATTGAACAAAAGAAACATAATATTTTTTTATTAAACTTTTTATTTCAATCCTAAAATAATAGATTCACATCTCCATGAATGTATTTTATGGAAAATTAATGACAAATCATTTCTATAAAATATTATTTTTATAATTATATTTTTTAAATGTAAATCGATTTTTGTATGATGTTAATTTTCAAAAAGAAAATCCATGACATAATTTTTAATTTCGGATTCATAAATAAAAACTTAAAAAAATTGTCTTTTATCAAACTGTCCTTGATAATTCTATACATCAAATTGTTTTAATAGACAATTTAATCTGCAATCAATCTAAAAAATTTTAAACATGAATCTACTTTTTCTTTGTATAACAATGTGAAATAAAAAGAATGCAATTAAAAATTCTTAACCCTAGTTAGTTTGCAATTTAATCGTCAATCTATGTATTCCGTACTACGCATCGTTTCACTGCTTTTCAATCTTCTCAATCTCACGTATGAAGTATTACCAGCAGCGGTAACTAGCAATTAGAAGAGAATGAACAAAGGTGGAGCAGCGGGGTTAGGGGTGGTGCCGGTGCCGGAAGCGGGCCCACTGCGGCGGCGGCATCCGCGGCAGCGCAGAAGCAGAAGACGCTGCTGCAAAGAGTCGAAGGCGATATCGCCAACATTGTCGATAACTTTAGCCATCTCGTCAACGTTGCAAGGGTATGTATATTGATTTATTTGATTAATTAATTAATTAATCAATTAATCAATCAATTTTTGGAATTGACTCCCATCATCCCGCGCCACACTTCCACTCACTGCGATTTTGATTGCGTTTGCATGTATTAGCTGTGATATCATCTGATTTTAGGGCCTGTCTGGGAAAACTTATCCGGAAGTAATTCTAGGATAGAAAAATTAGAAGAAAAAAATTATGTGAACTTCTTCATAAGCTAACATTAAATTATTCACAAGTTAAAATATACGAATATATTCAAATCATCCAAACAATTTCAATTCATGTTAGCTATGCGAAAAGAAAATTTGTAATTTAGAAAGAAAAAACAAGTTATGTGTAGGATAAGTCTGAGATTTTAATTGAGTATTCCACGTGGCATATGGAGCAACAGCATGGGTGAGTAGCAAGGTTTTAAATTGAGCTTGTAGGTTTATTGTGATACTTGATATTGGGGGGAATTGCAGAGAAATGCAGCTGATGAGAATCACAATGGCAGTGGAATTGCAGTAGTTTTAGAGAGTGAAACACTGAGAACTGATGACGTGGTTTAAATTGCAGTTGCAGACTGTTTTAAGAAACTTGATTAGAAGTGAAGAAAACAATGAGGTGAAAAATCTTTTGAAGTTTTGTCTTATAAAACCAATTATGGTGAGAAATCATTTGATAGGTTTGGTCGCTGTTGTGTGAATGTGAATTTGGGTAAACATGTACGGAGTCAATTTTTGATGATTTTAATTTCACAAAATTGACCTAGGTTGAAAATGAATTTGAGGTGAAGTGATGTTTAGAAATATATATGTTGCAAAACTTTCTCAACTCAAAGATGTGTTATTTTACTTATAGAATGCGGTTTCGAGCGAGGCAAGCTTGGTTTGAGACAATTAAACATTAATGTTCTTCTTTTTGGGGGTAAATTTTGATACCCTCAATGTCAGTTTGGTTGTCTCAAACACCTACCGAACATACATTGAGAGAATGAAATAATGTCAGTTCTGGTGTCTACTACAGCACAAGTAGGGGGCTACTAGGAGGTTGGGACAGAGTTTAGTGATAAGATAAACATAATATATTGAGAGAGACAGTATCAGTTTTCTTCTCAGTTGGCTAATCTTCAAAATAGGAAACTGGGTATGTTTCAAGCACAATTTCAAGAAAAAGATAGCCCGAGTTGTGACTCTACCAAAATGTTGAGTTGGTCTCTTCCAATTTAGTTTCTTGTTCTCAAACATGAGTAATAGTTGCCGTTCTCATCTGCTCCTTTTGATGTTGACGAAGATTATCCTTCTCTTCTTTGATAGTCACTATTCATCCACCCGTTCCTGCTCATTAATGCACTAGTGTGCCAACAGCCACTATGCATACATGGGTTACTTGGATTATGGATGGTTTAGCTTTTAAGTTGACCTAAGCCTGGTTCTGATCCTAGGGTAATAATTGGGAATATCTTTAATATCTTAACATACTAAAATTATGATCATAATGTTATGTTTGTACCATTTATTTGGACTTACAACCTTGCATTCTTGCAGGTAAATGATCCACCAGTTAGAAACTCACAGGAAGCTTTTATGATGGAGATGCGTGCTGCTAGGATGGTGAGAGGGCTTTTCTGTAGACTGTTATGCTTCTGAACATGCACGCCCATAAAGATTACTGTGGGGGAGAGAAGTTTGCTTGTGCATACCCTTACCTGTGATGGATTGTGTCTAACAACACTGGAAATATTACACGTTGCAATTAGCTCTTTTATAATGCTTATTGTTAATTGAATTGTAATTTGTGTTTTTTTTTTTCCATTCATATTAAATTACTTCTTTCAAATGTCACAATAGCATTCTCAAATTGTTCTGTAAGACTTGCTAAGTATGGTTTTTGACAAGGTTTTAGTAAGGGTTACTGAAATCTTTTCATTTTCTGCTTATATTTTATATTGATTAATTACACAGGTCCAGGCAGCTGATTCTCTATTGAAGTTGGTATCAGAGCTGAAGCAGACTGCAATATTTTCTGGATTTGCCTCTCTTAATGATCATGTAGAACAAAGAAGAATTGAATTTAATCAGCTAGCGGAAAAAACAGATCACACGTTATCCAGAGTTGGGGAGGAAGCCGCTGCTAACCTGAAAGAACTTGAATCTCATTATTCTTCTTCTGCGCAGAAGACTATGCAAAACCTGCAACCATAGTTGAGAATCTCTAAATGCAGTGTGCCATCACTTGAAGAAAGGATCATGCTTTCTTCAGTATAGTAGTTTTTAATTTTGGTTTCAAATCTTTATACCCTTGTTTGAATTAGGATGAAGTAGAAACTGTACTGAGAACAAGCAAATAGCAGCGCTCAAGGGAAGAGGCAAAATCATTATGCACTTCTTCATATGTTCACAATTACTGAAAACCAAGGATTTTCTGATGATGTGGCTGTTGTAACAAGCTCTGTCATTTGAAATCATTTTGGCGGACACGGGATATGTATTTTTTTTTTTTTTAAGGATACCATATGCTTAGGATATGTTAATAAAAAAATTATATATGGATATAAATATAGAGAGTTTTCCTATAGACAAAGTTTAAAGATCAAGTAAATGGGTAGAGATAGGAAGAAAAGCATGAAATGGGAAGAAGGTAATCTATTTCATGTATTTTTACTTTTTAAGGGAATATATAACGTGTTTGCCACTTTTTTCCTTTTGAGTTTAAATCATTAAAATATTTTATTCTACAAAATAGAAAATGGATCAAGTTGTATTAGAGTTGTGTCCCTTATAATTAATTCGTATTCTAATTATATAGTGTCTCTAATTAAATCATATCTCATTTGTACACAGGCACGATGACTGAATTTTTGGAGTTTCCAAGTTTCATAGTTATATTAAGGTAGAAATATTTATTTTTAGGGTTTATTTGAAAGATATACAGTAATATTTTTGGGCACATTAAAACAAAATTTCGTTCTCAAGTTCTACTAAGAGGTGGGAAGGTTGGATTCTCATGTGATTTAATGAACTTTTTGAGAAAGGAAAGTTGAATGTAAAGAATGGGAAGAAGAATGGAAGAAAGAGAGATTTGGAACGAGTCTGCATCAGAAACATTGTAGTTAGAACCTAGGAAGTTGTGCAATTCGTAAAATATTTTTCTTGCGTGTTCGACTATCATAAAGAACTCATTAGAAACTAAAATCAAGATCCTCCTCTGCAAACTTGTCTTCTCACCATTGTGTCTATATCTCAACTTTGTGTTCTAATCTTTACATATCACAAACTCTACATTTTACTTTCTTAAATATTTATGTACATTGCTTTTGTTCTAATTTTAATCCAACCATGTACACCCTTAATTCAAATATATTATTATAAGCAAGCATTTAATATAAATACAAATATTTAAATTTTAATTCATATAATTAAATTAAGTTAAAATATTTTAAAATATAATTAATTTAATCATATTTTATCAGAAAATTGATGTATATATTGATTGGTGTCGAAATATTTTCGTGATGACATGTCATACGTTATTTGATTTAAATGAAATGAGATTTGAAATAAAACAAATTTGATTTTATTCTCTGGATTACTTTATTTTAATTATCACTTAACTTTGTATAAAAAAATTAGTCAACATTTACTAATCTTAAATTAATTTAAATAATATAAAAAAGTTAACCTTAAATTAAAATTAATCCATTCAGTATATTTGATAGGAGAACATGGTAGAAAGATAGGACTGGATTTATTTGCTCGAAACAACTTATCTACTATGTGTTCTCATAATTTTGTAAATATAATTGATTTATCAGAATTTGTTACATTTTCATATAATTTTTTCTGAATAATAATAATAATAATAATAATAATAATGTTTACATGGCGTAAATCCTTCTGAAACTAAATTGAAGAACATATTGTATCGTATATACAATAATAACAATACATTATAGTCTAAATAATGTAAAAAGTTATAAATATATACTAATTTGTTGTAGAATATTAAAAAATATAAAGAAATGAGAATGTTAAAATATAATATCTAAAATATTAAAAATAAATATAAATTATAAACTCTGCATCTATGCATACCATGGCGTGTGATATTTAACTAATAATAATAAAATGAAGTGTATGTGAATATTTATGAAGCAAATAAATAATTAAAAAAAATATTTTCTAAAATCACAATAAAAAGAAACTTGTTATTATATACGTGCCTTCCAATATGTTGATATGAATATACTTATATAACATTGCTGTTTCCCCTGTTAAATGAAACCATTGATGTAGATTATATGAACTACCTTTAACTCCATGACATATAATACATATCATCACATATGAAGAAGAAAAATATTATGATATTGTTATGTGGAATCTATGCAACGGTGGTGACAACATATATAATCTTCTACATGTTGATGTCAATTTATGGAACTGTGTAGTTGACAGAGAGGGGAGGGATTTCCATTTCACAGAGAATATGACGCCTATCCATTCTTTTCCAAAAATCACATTGATTTTCATATTGTTTTGATAAGCCATTTTTCTATATATAAATATTGGTTTTTTCCTAATTCTGGTTGTATTGCTATCTTCTACCTTTTGTTCCACAATTTCCTCTCAAGATATCCTACTGTTTTTGATGATGGGTGGTGGTCCAATCAAGAACCAGCTCATTTTCAATACCCTCATGTCATTTCCTGTCTAAACCAACAACCTTCCCCTTTTCTCCCAATTACTTTTCTCTCTTCTTCAGAGGAAAAAACAATCTGTTATATTCATTTGTCTATGCATCTGAAATATTGTTGTTGTAGCTCTTAGATAACCAGGGTGTGTTATCAGGATTCATGCAATTTCTGACTTTCAGGTTTGTTCTGCATTATTATTTCCCTCAAATCTCTTCTCTCATGGATAATCTTCTCTCTTTCTTCATGTCAAATCAATCTTCAATGTACCTGCCATAATTGGTTCTTCATCTGCCTTTTGATTTTGCATTAATAATGTTGTTTTGGTTACTGAAGCCAACTCTAAAGAATAATTGAACTAATAATATATATTGTAAACCTTATTAATAGTAGTTAACAACCATTGAAGAAGAGTTTAATTTCAAAATATTAGAAACTAAATAAAAAATGTTATTATGTTGTGACAAGGAAAAAATAAAAAGAAGATTATAAGAAGAAAACAAGTTAGAAGAGTTGTTGATTTTTTTAAAAGTCAAGTATTTTAGAAATATATTATTATTTTGTAATTTTGGTATTAATATCAATTATAAATATTGATAATATTTATAAATGTTAGGAGGGTCAAGGCATGAATTCCTATGGTCTGCTTCACATTTCATTACGTGGATGGCATGAATTTAGTTTTTGGTTCTTTATTCTTTTGACGTTTATGTCATGGCATCGTGCATGTTCAACAACTTCCCTATTAATTTATGAGCATATTCGCTCACAAACACAATCATTTGTGTGGTTACATGGTTTCACAATAACGACAGTAGCAGGAATTGAGTACTTTTAGTTTCTTGAATTATGGAAAGACCAGCAACAACTGCTTTCTTACATTAGATGTAGTTCTGTTTCAATTTTTATATCATTTGAATTTGCTTCAATAGTCCATGTTACATCCCAATAAAGCTAATTTGCATGAGTGTTCTTTTTTTTCTGTCTTTTTCAGGAGTTCCTCTTGAGGGGTGTTACTGTGTTGCCTGTTGATGACATCAAAACCTGCCAAGATGCCTGATTTACCACCTGAGGTAAGAGTTTCATCATGGCTGTTCACTTCTGTATATATCCCCATAATTGCCCACAAAATGCAATCACAGTGCATGCAAGGTTTTAAAAATGGTCTTTCAACATTTCCATAAAGATCTTTTTGCATATCTTTGCATTTTTCTCAGTTTTACTAAGCATGGACGAGCTTTGTATAAATATTTTTCATAGAAAAATAAAATAAAGTGAATTTTTCTATAAATAAAATTGAAAAATGACTATATGACAGAGCTCTTCTTAACATCTCAAATATCAAAGAACAAAATGAAACTGTGACTACAATTTATAACCCTGAATGCATCCAGATTTTTGGATAAAAGCGTGACAAAATTATTCATGAGTGTGAGAATTGACCAAAACTTCTGTTTCATCCATAAACACAGATGAGCCACGATATGTCAGACGAGGCAAACAGTAGTGCTTATAGCAGTTGTGTAACTTCAGGAAACAACTCACCAACTCATCCCAAATATATGAAACAAGCAGTAAAAGAGACATACTACAACTCAGGAAGTGAAACTGGACAATTGGACCAGGTTTACAAACCTGATCATTCAAAGTTTGAAGGTAGGTCAAGACCCCAGAAGATAATGCCACCAAACAGGAATATATCTGATTTCAACCCTCAACACCAAAGTCCAAGCACTAAGAGGCCTGGTCCAGAGCATCATCATGTAAAGGCAATGTCTGTGTCCACCCCACATTCAAAGACCCCGAGTCAAGGGAGTTGTGCTAGTTCTCGCAGTAACAGCCTAGAGAGCACAAGTGCGCCCATTAGGCCACACACTGGGGGTGATGTGAGGTGGGAAGCTATCAACATGATTTCAAGGTGTGGCTCTATCAATCTCAGCCACTTCAGGCTTCTCAAACGCATTGGTTATGGAGACATTGGGAGTGTGTACCTTGTGGAACTCAAAGGAACTAGGACCTACTTTGCCATGAAAGTCATGGACAAGGCAGCACTCATAAGCAGAAACAAGCTTCTGAGGGCACAGACAGAAAGGGAGATTCTTGGACTCCTTGATCACCCCTTTCTCCCGACTCTGTATTCTTACTTTGAAACTGACAAGTTTTACTGCCTGGTAATGGAGTTTTGTAGTGGAGGCGATCTTCATTCTCTTCGACAGAAGCAACCGAACAAGTGTTTCACTGAAGAAGCTGCCAGGTTAGTAAGACCTGTTCTATATTCTGGTAATAATAATCATATCGATAAACTTTTCTGCAATCACTTATGAAAGAAAAAAAAAATATTTGGAGGAGTTCTTGTAAGCACGCTTAGAAGAAGAAAAAAATTAAAATTATCTCATGCATAAGTTAATTTACAAAAACTCTTTATTTCTCTTAATTTCATTTTTATCATAATATATACTGATGTTAAATAACTCTTTAACACTATTATTAAATGATTGATAATATAAAAATATTATATAATTTATAAGGTCATGCATCTTAGAGGATGAATGCTAGTAGATACATTAGGTCTGTCCACACATTTGCATGACTGAATTGAACTTGACAGTCAGTTTAGGAGCTTTTAGTGTTCTACAAAGACTTATTAATGTCTATTAAATACACTCAATTAAATGTAAATGTCTATTAATTGTAGTAAATGCTTTGTGTTTTTGACATAATATTCACTATCCCAGGCTGGACACTCATTAGTATTTTCCTATTCAAATCATTTTCCTATCAACAGGGACTCATGTTAACCATTTGATTTCAAAAATCTGATTTCAGTTTGTAGATCAATTTATGTACTTATATGCTTAAACATCTTGTGATAGGTTCTATGCTTCAGAGGTTTTGCTAGCTCTGGAGTACCTGCACATGCTTGGCATTGTATACAGAGACTTAAAACCAGAAAATCTTCTAGTCAGAGATGAAGGGCACATCATGCTCTCAGATTTTGACTTATCCCTCCGCTGCTCCGTCTGTCCTACACTAGTCAAATCTTCATCAGCCCACGCAAGCAACAGTAGTAGTGGCAACCATGATTCTAGTGGCATACTAAATGATGACCAAGCAGTGTCAACCACTTCTCAAGCATCGAGTTTTTTTCCGCGCATTTTGCCTTCAAAGAAGAACCGTAAGGCAAAATCAGATTTTGGCCTATTGGTTGGTGGTGCACGCCTGCCTGAACTGATGGCAGAACCGACCAATGTGAGATCTATGTCATTTGTAGGGACACATGAGTATCTGGCTCCCGAGATTATCAAAGGAGAGGGTCATGGTAGTGCAGTGGATTGGTGGACTTTTGGGATCTTCTTGTATGAGCTGTTGCATGGAACAACCCCTTTCAAGGGTGCAGGGTATAAAGCCACACTTTTCAATGTTGTTGGACAACCACTTAGGTTTCCAGAAAATCCCCAGGTCAGTGCAGTGGCTCGTGACCTTATTAGGGGATTGCTGGTGAAAGAGCCTCAGAAGAGAATTGCATATACAAGAGGAGCTACAGAGATAAAACAACACCCATTTTTTGAGGGAATGAACTGGGCTCTAGTTAGAAGTGCCACCCCTCCTCACATACCAGATGCTATAGACTTCTCCAGGTATGCTAGCAAAGAGACAGCACCCCCAGTCGACAAGAAGATGGCAGATATTGCTAATGATAAAAACAGCAATAATGATTCTTACGTAGATTTTGAGTATTTTTAGTAGTAAAAGTCCTATATGGGTAAAATATACTTCTTTGACAAGAATATACTGTACAAAGTGTCACCTCCTCTTCCCCAAAAGAAAATTGAAGACTTCTCTGAGAAACATACAATGTAACACAAGCATGTAAATTTGTTCAGAAACATTCTTTTTTCCCCTTATTTTTTGACAATGTCTTTAATATCGTTGTAAGGACTTCCAAAGTAGATCTGTTTGCAAAATTCAGTGTTCAGAATATGTTTTGACGATGAGATGTTTGTGGTACATGACATGAGTTCTTCAAATGTAGAGAGTTCTGATAGCTCAAGCAAAATGCAACCAGTTATGCAATTTTGGTGATCTTACATAGATTTACAGTACTTTTAGTACAAGTCGTATATTTGGTTAAAAATATAGTTTGACAGGAATCTACTGAAGAAATCGTCACCTCCACCTCCTCTTTCCCTAAATAAAATTTAAGACATTCAGAGAAATATACACTGTAAAAAATAAGAAGTGCACACGTTCAAGAAATTTATTTTTCCCTATGTTATTTTCTATCTGTCTTCAATATTGTCAAAGAACTGCCAGAGTAGCACTACTTTCAAAATTCAGTTTTCAGAATATGTTTTAAGAATGAAAATATAGTATGGAGTTTGTGGTACATAACATGAGTCCTTCAAATGTTGATTTCTAATGGCTGAAGCAACATGCAATCAGTGGTCCATTAGAATTTTGGTGATCTTAAAAGGTATATACACTAAATGTTTCACTGAGACGCAATAGAATTTCCTCCTTCAAGAAAGAAAAAGAAAAATCAAGGAAATGGACACGTTCATCTTTAACTCTACAGCTTTGATTGTGAAAATAAACTTGTTCGCAGCGCCTCAGCTACAGCATCAATGAACTCTTCAGTATTCAAATACCGGGATCTAGAAACCCTGCACATTAGAAAAAAGACCGAGTTTATTAAAATCAAAAGAAATAGCTAGCATTTAGAAAGAACAATTCAAGAGCCAGAAATTACTTAGGTCCATGAACAAGAAGTGCAAGATCCTTTGTCATCTTTCCCGATTCAACTATTCCAATGCAAGCTGCTTCCAGTTTCTCCGTAAACTCCAACAATCTAGCATTTCCATCTAACTTTGCCCTGTAAAAGTTAGGGTTCATTTGAAAAAGCTTAGCTAAAACACATTTTTACATGGTTTTTCAATGTGTTTAGATAAGCTTTTACAAGAAAGTGCTCAAATGACATCTTTATTTAGTGTTCTGCTTTTTTTCCTCTGAAGAAGATAAAAATTTTAGCTTATGCTAACTAGTAAAATGAACTTTAAATACTCTCATATATATATATATATATATATATATATATATACACCGTGAATGTAATATTTGTGCAGATAAACTCGTCTCTCAGGGTTCCAGGATTCATATATTAGTCTGGTGGGATTTTATTCTAACTTCAATCTGGGAAGACTTTCTCAGAATAGGTTGGGTCTCCCATCTTGTAGATTCTTGAATTTGTCCTATCTTGTGCCTAACCACTACGTCAATCCATTAGGTTCTTGTTTTGGAGCTTTATCTGTGAAGGTCAACTTCTAGAGTTTTCTTGGAGAAACTTATTCAAAAAACTAAAAAAGGAAAAGGAAAAAAAAAAAAAAAGTAAGAAAAAGAATGAAAAAAATTCTATATAAACTAAACTTAATATATGCATATGTTAACTATAAGAACTTCTCTCATTAAAGTTGACTTTTAACTTATGCATAAACTAATTTTAGATAATGAAGAATTTAATTTTTTTTTTTTCTTCTCCTCTAAGTGTTATGTAGAAATTTAATCAAATAGACCCTTAACTTGGAATACCTATATGTAGATTTTGCTTTCGTTTCAAAAAAACATTATCTAATAAATGTAAATTATTTTAGACATGCTCTTTTACTAAGAAACACTTTTCCTTAGGACAAGCAGGAACAACGGCCTCTGAAATCACTCAGCCTTACCACAGTGATATGAACTCAAATGGAGAAGTATCAACTTCTATGGATTCTAGCATAAAGAATAACTAATCAGAAGAGTTTCCATTGCAATCCATACCTGTGTGCAAGACCTCGTGACCAGGCAAAAATTGAAGCAATACTGTTTGTGCTGGTTTCACCACCTTTCTGATGAACCCGATAATGACGGGTGACAGTGCCATGGGCTGCCTCTGCTTCAATGGTTTTCCCATCTGGGCAAACCTGTCACCAAATTTAGCTTCTTGAACATCCATGCTAGAAATGTGAAGTGACAAAAGGAAGGTCGGAAGGAAATGAAGAGAGTATGAATGAAGAGAAATGCTACAAAGGGTTAGAAAAGCAATACCAGCACTGATGTCATCAAGCCAAGAGAACCAAATCCTGTTCGATGGAAACTATTATTATGAATATCAAGAAACTTTGGTCCATCCATGAGCAAAAGCAACAGAACAATGAATAACAAAAAGCAAAGTGAAAGTCATGAGCATATGAATATCCCACCTTGAGCTAAGAAATCACTCTGCACATCACCATCATAATTTTTGCAGGCCCATACATAACCTCCATCACTTTTAAGAGCATAAGCAACCATATCATCTATAAGACGGTGTTCATACCTAAGAATCAAGAATATGAATTAACAATCTACTAGTTATAAAGGTTTCAAATTAGTATGACTGGCAATTCAACTAACCATATCCCTGCAGCCTTGAACTTATGGCTCCATTGTGCCTCAAAAACTTCCTGGAAAATGTCCTTGAATCTTTCAAGAAAGCAAGGGATTAAAAATGTGCTAGAACATAGCATCTCACTTAGAACTGAAGAGACATTAAATACAAAGAAAGATGAACCACAAATATACCAGGATACCTTCCATCATATTTCTTTAAAATGGTATTTTTGGTGCTAAGATAGAGAGGCCATTTTTTCTGGTAAGCAAAGTTCATTGAAGCCTCAGCAAAAGCTCGAATGGACTGTTTCCAGACCAAATACAACATCATATTATTATCATCCAAGCAGAAAAAAAATCTTTGAGAAGAATAATAAAAAAAGCATCATCCACATGCAAACCTCATCAGTATTATACATGGACAAAGCTATGCCTCCAGCACCAGTAAAGTTATAGACTTCTAGCTCTTTAATTCCTTCACCACCACCGGGAGCTGGAAAAGCACAACTGAACAACATGAGATTATTAATTTTATGGACCTCTCTTACTCTTTCATCCATTAGGAACTGAAAGCAATCAAAGTCTCAGTTTTCATTGAACAACTTTGCAACTTCATCAAGATTGTATTTTTAACTACTTGAGCCATGAGAAAATAGTCAACTGGAGAGCGAGTTTACCGAACACCAATTTTAGCTTTCCTGGTCCTTTTATAACTGTATCTGTTGCACGATATTGGTCTCCGAAAGCATGTCTTCCGATGCATATCGGCTTTGTCCAGCCTAGACAATAGACAGATAGTAATTAACACTAGCTAAGTTGTGATCCTAAAGTAAAAATCAAAATTCCAAATACAAAATATGAAATATGAAATAAGTTTAGCATTTTATGAACCTGAAACAAGACGAGGGATGTTTTTACAGATAATTGGCTCTCTAAAAACTGTACCTGTAGAAGATAAAGAATTGAACGTTCCCCTGGATGTCAGATAAAATTCAGAAAACAAAGCAAGGATACAAAAATAATTTGATAGTTTAGTTACCATTTAAAATGTTCCGGATCGTTCCATTTGGACTTCTCCACATTTGATTTAAGTTAAACTCCTTGACACGAGTTTCATCTATGACAAAGAAAACCTTTGCATGTGAATTTAATTTCTAATGCATGTCAAGTTAGTACACAGCCTTAATTCATGACATGGAAAAATATGCATCATTCCAGCTTAGAACATCTGTGAATACCTGGAGTTATGGTAGCACATTTGATAGCTACATTATGCCTGGAAAAAAAATTCCATGGCATATTAGGAGGCCTCAGTGTGTAAGACAAGTTTCTCTAATAATTAACGAGCAATAAAAATGAAAGCTACTCTATTCCATAGAATTAAAAAAAATGATAAAATCAAAGCATAAATTACATAGGTTTATTTGATAATATGTCAACCAAACCAAATACACTAAAATCCAAATCCTCTTGCCAAACTATAAGAATTCTCTTTTTTCCATTTTAACCTACCTAATTCTACAGTATTGTATTTTACAGAAATGAGCATATTAAATAGTTAGTCTTTATCTCCATTTAAATCATAATTTTCCCATCAAGTATAAAGGCAGTTAACCTACACGACTACCACAGGGATGGAACATGCACCCTTTTATACCATCACACATGCCTGGAGAAACCCCCACAGCCCCAATTTTCAGAATTGTATAACAAGGAACCTCCAACGTAAATTCATCTTGGGGACATGACAATATCAGAATGTCAAAGGGCTAAAGGTAGGTGAGACCAATTTCAAGCTTATAGTAAGATGGTTGAATGTTGAATCTACCAACAGCTTGGTGGAACTTAAACCTAAGTTCAGTTATCCTCTTCTAAGGACAGAGGTATAAGAGAGTTAAAAACAAAATTTCAACCACTTGAGCAAAATATTTATACACAGTTCAGAATTTGATCACAATTTGGCTAAGACAAGATCTATCTAAAATTTCTAGAGCTAAATCAAATCTAAAGGAGTGAAATCCTATGTTTGGCACCAGAAAAAAAGAAAAAGAAAAGAAGGATCAATGTACATTTTTCTTTTAACAGTATTGCAAGTTTTATCTTAATAATAGTCATGGAAGAAGCAAAAGAAGAAACTGATAGCAACACTAAAATGATACATAATCTCAAGAGTAACCACATACTTGAGTGTAGCTTCAGCACTTTCAACGGTAACCCTATCATTAGTGGCATCCCGGTGAGGAAGGCCAAGGTCAAAATACTTAATATCCAGCTCCAAATAAGGGAGAATAAGCTGCAAAAAGTAAAAAGTAAAAAAATAAGGATAAAATACAAAAAAATTACAGCATAATTACCAGATTCCCGAAGATAACTCAAGAAGATAAAACTACCTTATCTTTTATCAGTTTCCAAATCACTCGGGTCATTTCATCCCCTACATGTGAAGACAACGAAAGACTGATTACTCAGACAAGAAACCTAAAGTCAATGACTTTTTAAACATCTTTGGAAAAATCATATGATTCCGAAGACAAAGTCTACGAGGCTGAGACCCCCGATTGAACTGAATTTTCAATAATGACTAAATCGCATAAAAAAAGCATCAAATTTAAGAAACGAGACCCCCATGTGAGTTCAGGTGCTAAAACGCTTGAAGTATAATACAAAATGAAAAGGGGTGATTGTAATTGAGAACCCAGATGAACAAAATGATTAAAACACACAACTTTCTCATCCCAGAGAGTACTAAGCATTCACACACTACTAACATTCATCAGAACCAATAGGTTGAAAGATCACACACACATAACAAATAAAAAGAGAAGAGTAAGAGATGCATAACATACCATCCATTTCGACGATGGGGTTGTCAACCCTTATCTTCTGAAACCCCATATTGTTGTTAGTTTGGTTGAGGTGAAAATGGGGACTGAGACACGACAATTAAAGCTAACACACACTCTGAATGGGAAATTTTGGGTTGTCTTAGTGTTTCTGACTTAAAGAAAATATGTGGAATGAAGCAACACGTGATTATTGATTCCCAGTTATTATAATGAGTAAGATTAGATTAGTGTGTATTGGTTCTACAGTTCAATCACGTTGAATGAAGGATTGACGAGGATGTGATTTGAAAAGTGAGAAACAACAAAAACAAACACGCCCTAAGTTCTGTAGGCCTGCACCAACGATCTATAATGCTACTGGACATCACATCATGGTTCGTTTGTTCTCTCAGCCGCTTCGTTATCTTCTGATCAAATCAAAATATTAATTATATTAAAGGAAAGATTGGTTGTATTTTTTAAATTTGACTAACTTAATTAAATTTTTAAAAATTTACACTGTTATATTTTAAAATTGAATAAAATAAATAAATAATAAGATAAAAATAATTAAGTCTATTTTGAATATTTTTTGTATACTTATGTCTCACTTTTAATTTCTTAAATATTGGGTAACATCTTACAAGTTTTACGAAGACATACGAGAACTAGCTTTATGATTCAAAATTATTCTGATAATGGTTTAAAATATAGTTAAATTTAAGTATATTTTTTAATTTTAAATTATATAAAATTTATAATAAAATATTTATTTTTATTTGTTATTCTTATTAAAGATGTTCTTGTTTATAGAAAATAGTCTCTTGCCGTACACCACTCCATTTCACACATGAAAGTAATGAAAATCAGAATATTTTAATACAGTGATCTAATAAAAAAAAAACCTTTAATACAGGCGTATACAAAATTAAGCCTCAATAACGTTTTTAAGTTGAAAAATATAAAAACATTTAAGGTATATAATGCACTTTAAATAATAATAATAATAATAATAATAATAATAATAATAATAATAATAATAATAATAATAGCTAAATCGATTGAATTTGACGGTTTTCTGAGTTTCAAATGTTAACCTTAAGCACACTTATTCTTCTTTTGGAAGAAAAGAAATTCCAAGAGTAAAAGAAAAAAAAATTATAGATAAAAAATTATTAGAAAGATATTTTATTTAATTAAGAGAAAAAAATAAACTAATGAAAAGTATTATTTACTTTAAAAGAAAATAATAAATTATTTTTATCTTTAGTTCTTTTTTTTCTACTTTTTTTCTCACTTTATTTGGTTTTGCCTCTATAGTAATTATTCTTTATTTATATGGAGTAGATGAGTGTGCATATTAGGAGGTTTATACATTTAGTAAGGTTAATAGAGAATTTTAATATTATTTTATCTTTCTTTATTTAAATCAAATTAATTTTATAAAATGGTTTTCATTTTTTTCTCATGTTCAAATATAATAGTAAATATTAACTTAATAGTTATTATTTTATTTTATTTTAAGATATAATTATATTCTTTAAAAAAATCTCTTTAAATTGTATTTCTGTTTTCCTATAAATAGATTTAAATCCCAATTGGAAGTATCAAATTTGGTTTTATCCAAATAAAAAAAGAAAAAAAGATTTGAGCACTAATACTTTGTAACAAAAATATTTAATTATATTATTTTAATTTAAATACAAATTGTCTCTTTATGATTTATTTTAGTTTTATAATTTTAAAATAGTACTATTGATATGTCAAACTTTTGTGTGCAATACACATCTCTTTTTCTAATTTCCCATGTAACATGGGTGAATTGGAAAGTATTATCATGATATTAGTTTTTATTAAAAATTTAGTTAATTATTTCTAGTGATTCTTTTGTCAATAATTTTTTTTTCATCTATCAAACTTGAAATCATGAATTTAATTACAAATTTCGAATTCAGTTCTACTTTGTACTATTGTTTTAAGACCTGTCTACAGTTTGTACTATGTAATATATTAAAAGATTAATTCTTATAACAAAATAAAATTATAGGGAAAATTTTAGTGCATTGAAACTTTTTTTTTAATTTAAGAAATTAAAGTATTATTTTTTAAAATTTGTGGAAATCATAATCAAATTCCCTACAAATTTCAGAAAATAAACATATTTAAATTTAAATTATTAGAACAGAATGTATTTAAATCTTCTATTTATTGACACAATTTCTGTTAGAATAGAACATGTTTCATGGTTGACCATGAGTGGTGCAGAACAAGATAGATAGATACGGGTACCATACATAATGTTGCTGCAGCACTCCATGTTCTGTTCCACTCCTTCTCTCTTCATCCCATTGCTGAAACAAAGGAAACCATTTCTTCACCATCTCTCTTTTCCTAGAAAGACCAAAAGTTCCATCGTCAGAGTTTCTTCTCTTGGCCCTGGTTTATTCGATGATATAGTTCAAATTGCACATAACAAGGTACCCGATTTCAAAATTCAATGTTTAGATGTCTCACAAATTCTGGGTTCCTTTCAAATTTTGCCTTTTCCTTTTCTGTTCTGAGCAAACCCACTTATTGTTTTGCCGTCCCATGTGCTAATTTGGCTCTTGTTTTCTCTTTCTTTGATATTCTTCTTCCAAGATTCTGATTGCAGCTGGTGTTTCTGTGGCCATTGGTCAGCTTTCTAAGCCATTCACTTCTGTTATTCTGTATGGCAAAGAGTTTGATATCAGGGCAATTGTTCAAGCTGGAGGGTTCCCATCCTCACACTCTTCTGTATGGCCTTGCAACCCTTAATCAGTTAATCCTATTTTGATGGTGACATTTGTCAATCTCGGTATCTCACCAGTTGTTTGTATTTTCCTGGCATAGGCAACAGTGGCTAGTGCAACATTATTTGGCCTTGAGAGGTAAGATATTTTGTTTGTGCCATCTTGGTGTTTGGTTCATAAGAATAATAAATAAGAGTAAGAGATAAACGCACATGACTTTTTTAATTGGTCATATGATCACTAACAAACTTTTAGTCTTATCATCCATTTACAGTTGTATGGATAGCATTCATAGGTTTTATTTCTCACAATAACCAAGAATTTCACTTGATTTATACGTTTGTATGTATGTGTTCTCGTGATATCTGTAATTTTATAATTTGCAAATGCAGAGGCTTCTCCGATCCTATTTTTGGTCTTGCAGTTGTGTATGCTGGTCTCATTATGTATGATGCTCAGGTATGATGTTCTTCTGTCAAATATGGTGCTTTCTATGTATTATATACTTTACTTTATGTATTTGTATTGTATCACGTGAATGTCTTTTATTATGATCTTTTAACCGTGTAACAATTGAACTGCGCTTAGAAAAAAAACACAATTTTTAGTGTACGTTATTTTATAAACACCGAGGTGCTCCATGGGCTATTTCAAACAAGTCTTAAGCAGGATTAAATTAAGATCTACTAAGATATTGGGTATAGCTGTTATGTAATTATTCCAATCTCTAATGAATGATAGAATTATTTGTGGAATACTTACCATGGTGGTATTGGTAAACACTAAACATGAACATATTTAACGCTTATAACTTGTTGTTTTATGTGGGGATGTATTGTTTCTGGAACTACATATGTTGGTTAAGCAATTGGAATAAGTTGATGTGCAGCAGAAACTTAGAAGAGAAAATTCTTTTATGTCCAATGAAGATTTTGAGGAGTGGTCTTTCCGACATATACCCAAATGTAGAAGATATTATAAGATAATCAAATTGCTGAACTAAAAATTTGTATAGGTTCGTACAGTTGGGGACAGGTAAACATAATTTTTTTTTCTTGTGTCACACTTCAGGTTTGTCTGGTTCAATGTGTGCCATTGTCAAAGCCCTAAAGTAAGGACAAGTTTCAAATTTCAATTTTGTTGGAATTCCCACATCGTCTGCCTCATGTGATATGATATGGTTTAAATATATGTTAGACTATTCCACATATTACTAATTAGTTTTATGTTGGAATCTTAAGATGGTATTAAAGCCAATTTTAGAGTTGTCGGGACAATAACCGCTAATAGTGGTGAACTTAACCACTCATTGTCGGAATAATAACACTTAACAGTAGTGGACTTAATCATCTCTTATTATATAGGGTTGAGTTATCATCTCACAATTTTTAAGATGGTATCAAAGTCAAAGCCTACTTTTTTTCGATTATTGTTTTGGACTAAAAGTTTGTGGGTCAAAAATTATCATTCGTTGTTGTCTTGAACTAAAAATTGCTCTTTATTATGGGTCAAAAAGTATCATTAGTTGTTGTCTTGGATCGAAAGTACCATTTGTTTGATCCAGCAGGTTTCATTGAAGGGAATATGTTGGAAGTAGTACATCATCTGCCTCATGTCGTATAGTATGGTTGAAATATATGTTAGACTATTCCACATATTATATTACCACTTGATTTTTGGTTAGAATCTTAACAAATTTGATTATAAACTTCTCATTTTTCAATATTATGTACCATGGTAGATATAACAGCTAGCTACCTACCAGCATTGGAAATATATGCATTTATATTTAGGCTTGAAATCTTCTTCTTTTTCTTTGTTGTTGGAATGAATTAGTAAAACAATGCACCTAAGAAATATTAAGTTGTTACTTAAGATTGAAGTGAGAGAATTTGACCAAAAAATATTTCCTAAAAACAGTAGTTTGATACTGCACTGAAAATCCTGTATATGGTTAATAAAACTGCAGTTTAAGAAGCTTTACATTTCTGAATAGTTGTACAAAAATGTTGCTATTAGGATTTACAACAGAACAAGGGACTGGTAAGTCCTGTATGCAGTCATGGGAGGAAACTAGTTGCATCTTGAAGGTACTGACTTGAATCAGGCTTATATGAAAAGAAAACAAGGGTACCTTTCTTTTCAAGAAAGTTCCTATCGGTCAAGCCAATGATGCAAGGAGGCATGTTATGATTGTGGCAATTTGGCTCTGTATGTGTGATCAATGGTAAGCTCTGGGACTAAGTCATGTTGTCATGCCATGTGATGAACGCCTAATCATATATTTGAATGAACAAATAGTTTCCAAAATAAAAATTGGAACAATAGAAAATGCGGAAGAAAATAGAAGATGAAAAAGATAAATTGAGGAAGACTCTATGACTTGATGCAAACTACCCAAATCCCTTACTACTAGCCCAATCCTAATGGCTTGCTGTGTATCACATTGCAACGAACATGGTAAAATATTTAGTTGGACAGGGGTTGTCCCTTACTTCATGGCATCTAAAATATTTTATAATTTGTTTGGTACTTAGAGGTAGATTGCAGCAGATACTTCTTTTGTTCTTATTCATATAGGCTCCACTTTGAACTTGGCACTTCATTAACCTTTTAACCTGCAGAAAGAGAAATGAAATTTAAAGAATGTATAAGAAAGTATAAAACTGTTTCAGGTGCCAAATGATAAGATTATATTGATCATATTCTAGTCACGTGGACGGTTCAATTTTTCCTACGTTTTGAGATCTTTTTAAAAATAATTTTCCCAACAATAATCTCAACCAAAAAATGCACACACTTTTCACGAGAAAATATTGTCTGTTTGTACTTAAAATACGTGGCAAGGATTCAGGTCTACAGTCAAATGCCACACCTTGTAATGGTCATTGCATTCATCATAATTTACTTATTTCTTTTGAAATTTTATAAATCTTAGGTTTTTCTTCCTTTCTCCCTCTAATTGTCCTCACCGAGAAAAAAGTTAGCTGAAATGTCAGTTGCTTAGGACCAGCAGGAAGAACATTTGTATACGATAACTACTGTCACAGGTGGAAAACTGACCAGTCACCCGTGGATGTGTTAATAATTTTCTGTAAAACCTTTTTTCATTTACAATTTTGTTAATATCAACCTTAATTTGATTTTAAGGAATCAAAATTAAAAAATATTTCATCAAAGAAAGAAACTAACTGTCTTTTTTATGTCTGAATATAGTGAATGCTTTATTTTTCAACGAAAAAAGTCTGTTGAGAAATACTAACAACACAATCTCTGGTACTCTCTTTCTGATACACTTTTTTCTACTGACCAAAATTCATGTGGTTTCTAGTAGGGATCTAGATGAACAGTGTATGAGAACATGAGTGTTAGAAAATGTATTTTAGTACTGTACTCTTCTCCTTTTAGTTTCTTAAAAGCAGCCAAGAAAAGCTTTCTAATTTTTATCATTTGTTCCTTTAACTTGGTAACAAATTGAGAGTGTGGCTCATTGATTTTCAGGGTGTAAGAAGAGAAGTAGGGATTCATGCTAGAACACTGAACAAACTACTGCTCCAGATGCAAGCCAACTCTTTACATTCCAAAGATAAAGATAAAGATAATTTATTCAACTCTCAATCAGGACTATCAAATCCACTAAAAGTAGAAGAATTTGAGAAGTCGCTTCTGTCCCAAGAAGCCACTTTGGAACCACAACAAGCAAATGGAGGTCTATTGGTCAAATCAGGAAGCAAAATAAGGCAAACAGAAGCAGAAGAAACCTCAAAATTGGCTGTTGATGGTATACCCCCATTAAAAGAATCCATTGGCCATACAGAGATTGAAGTCATAGTTGGTGCTTTAGTAGGCTTTTTGGTAGCTTTGGCTGTGTATAATATCATGTAAAATTTTAAATTTTGATGGATAATTTCATAGCATATCTTATATCAAGTAGATTATTATACCATGGAAATCAAGTGGTACCACGTTTAAGTTATCTTATCTTTCAGCAAAAGATACCAGATTGGGATATCTCCAAACAGAACATGACATTGATAAAGATAAAATACCCGTTCAAATGGGATTGGATTGTTTGGGATGAATGGAGATCTTGGCTGCTTATTTGAAATATAATCTTTAAAATAAAATATGTTTGATAAAAATGAAATCTAAAATGATTATTTCAATTTTGAAACGACACTCTTGTTTGTCTGATAAAATGGAACGAAACCTTAATTATAAGTAAAATTTATTGTTATTAATAATTGATTAAACACAATAAATTTTAATTTTACTAATTAAATAAAGAAATGCATACTAAATGTTAGTTTAAATAAGTTTGAAGTCATTACCATGTCTTTTTGTTTGTTTTATACCATTAAAAAAATATTTTAAGTCTAGCATTTTTTGATCTCTATGGTCGCCTACACACTAAAATTATGACAACATCATAGACAGAAACATTTATAAGAATTAAAAACACATATTATAAGAATTAAAAATTTAGTTAAGCCATAAACATTTGGAAAAGGTATATTAAATATTAGTTATACTGGTTCACTCACTTGACAGAAACTCTTTCTAGGAACTAAAAAGCCAGAAAACGTGGCAGAAAACAAGAGTGAAAATGCCATGCATGTGTTACAAGGTTACCACACGTGTAATTCCATGGCATGTTAGCATTCTACGTGGGTTGATCTTGGTATTACATTATCTATATCTTCTCATGATATATATATATATATATATATATATATATATATATATATATATATATATATATATGTATGTATATATATATATATATATATATATATATGTCGCACTCCTCATGTATATATAAATAGGTAGGTACATGAAGCACAAAATAAGCATAGAAATAATCAGAAGATTGTGATCACATACAAAATATATAAAACCAGACATAGAAAGATGTCAGGGGCACAAGGAGCACAACCAAAGGAGTCAAAGATAGCAACAACATATGAGTCAACAGAAGGAGGAGAGAACCGCACCAGGACTGACTTGCGTTCAAGGGAGGATCAAGGCTGCATTCAGGTCGAAAAACTGCAGGAGAAGGTCAGTGATCCTGCTGGCAAAGGTGGTCCTGTCTTTGGAGCTGGAAAAGATGAAGACAAGAAAGACCTTGGAGTTACTGGCACAGGCTAAATCTATGTACCATAAAATATATACCAAAAGCTAGAGTATCTTCTGATCACGGTGCTGCTTCAAAATCTTTGTTTTGGGTATGAGTTTTTGTGCTGGAACTAGCTTGAATCTTGGTATGTGTGTGTACTTTGTGTTATATGGAATAAACCGAAGAGTTGTTGATCATGTGCAAGTTTGATTTCTTCTTCAATACTGAGTCATCCTTGTTGGTTCAAATCCAAAACTTGGTTGCTATTAATTTAGTTATTTTCACTTGTATATGGATTTACTAGTTTGATCTTTTATAATCCTTCCTTGTTTTTATTTTACTATGACTTTCTTATTTTTTCTTGACACATATCCAACATCAATCAATGTAAATTTTTTTAATCTAAACATAATTTCTTTTTCATCTTCGTATATTCTTTTAATTCGTATATTTATTTTATTATTAAGCTAACAATTGTGAATTAATCTATATTATTTATGTTAACATGTTCATGTAACAAATTTACAAATTTGAGCTAACTGGAACTTTTTTAAAATTTATAATTTATTATCATTTTTTCTTTAATAAATAAGCATTTCTTTATTATGGATATAAATAATTATTCATAAATAGTGTATGTGCGTTTGGACCACCATTTTCTTTTTCCAAGAAACTAACCAATTTGTCTCTCCCATTTTTTACACATTATTATTACCACCAACATATTTTCTACACAATATTATTATTAGATATGAGTTGTTGTAATAGAATTGTTGAGGAACGAGTTGTTGTGATATTAAAAGTTTTTCAATTTTATAATTATAATTAATATTTATATTATGAAATTAAGTTGTATATGCGATGTACACTGAAAAGTGAATTCAAATAATTTTCCTTATAAACAAAATAATTAGGTTTTTTATTTTTTATTTACTGTCATGCGATATTTTAATGATATCATTTCAAGTTTTGACTTTATATATATATATATATATATATATATATATTAATAGAATAATAAATATTATTATTTAGTTAAAATATTAATAGAATAATAAACATAATCAACAATTCAAAATATTAATTAACAACATAAATTGTAGACCAGCCCTCTAGTTAGGTGAAATTTTAAATAGTTAGGTGAAATTTTAAACAGATTAATAAATTAAGAGGGTGAATAAGTCCACTCATAAAACACAAATTTAATAAATTACATTAATTTTGTTATTAATATTTTTTTAATAATAATTTTATTTATGATTTATTATACTTAAATAATTTTCTCATGAGACCCAATTTAAAAAAATTAAATGAATAATTTTTTAAATTTTATATCTAGTCTTTTATTTAATAATTGAGGTCAAATCAGATAATATAACATGCGAACATGAAATTCGAAAAAATCAAGTTTTTTCATAGGTTATATCAAGGGAGTCCAAGAATGTAGTAAAAAAAAAAAAAAAAAACTTACCATTGATTTGATTATGCACATATAGTAGTTTTGGGCCAAATTGAGAATAATCAGAAAAGAAAAGAAAAAATTATCTTGCCGGCTCAACAAGGGCACCCTCTTTTCACCTTTTCCTCTACCTATAAGTCTAACACTCCATTGTTGGTTTTGGTGTGGTCACTCCATTTTGCCGATTGAACATAATGCCCATTTCCAACAGAAGGCCTTACAGGAGGAGGAGCTTCAGCAGGTGTTCCTCTTCATCTGCGGCAACACAGGCTCCATTGCCACCTGACCCAGATAAGGTTTGCTTGTGTTGTTAGTTGTTTTGTTACCTATGATGCACAACTATTTGTTTTTTGATACATATCCGACACAACATTATGATTATTCATTTTGTTATCATCTATAGACAATGCTTCCATGCTTCTATATTTTTTACATGCATATATTATGTCTCTTGTAGCTGAATTGAATTTTAAGAATCCTTTTTAAAAGCTTGGGTATTGTATCGAAGAGAATCAATGTAGGATATGGAGACATGATACACATCAATTTTGTGTTGGGTTTGGTTGATGAATAGTTTGAAAATTGTGTTGGAGGTGCAGGAAGATAGGAAAGTGGGGGAAGAGAGTGGTGGTGTAGTTGTTGCACAGGGTGGGAGTGATCTGCAGATACTTTTTAGGAGGTTCTGGAAGGTGGCAGCTCCTTACTGGACTTCAGATGACAAGGTGCAAGCAAGGTTGCAGCTTGCTGTTGTTTTTGCTCTTACTTTGGTTACCACTGGAATCATTGTTGGCTTTAATATATTGGGGAGAGACTTCTTCAATGCACTTGCCAGTAAGTTCATGTCTATATGTGGACATAGCTGATTTTGTTTATTTTCCATTTACCATCTATTTGGGCATATAGTGTTTGCTTGTTTGTGAATTTGAGATTTTGTGTTGTTTTTTGTTTAATATTACTTTAGTATGTAGTGGCAACAAGAACTGATCTGTTTTAAGTTTATTAATGCTAGATAAGGATCAAGAGCAATTCACGAAGCAACTACTTTACTACTTGGGTGCCTTTGCTGGAGGAATCCCGGTGAGCACATTGCTGCACTTTCTTAGGTATAACTCATGCTATACTTTGCTTTAGTTCTTAGAGATGTGTACTGTCATCTGATCCAGTGTCTTAGTTGGAAAGAAACAAGATTGAAAATGAGAACTAACTCACATGTATTGCTTAGATGTGGATTTGTAAGTTACACCTTTTCATGTTTTGAGCTTTATCTGTCATATGAGGACTTAGACAATAGACATCAAAATTTTAGTCCTTCTTTGATCTTGTTGGAATTAATTTATTTCATAATTGCGTTGCAGCATTTCTTCTTAATCTTTAACTGAACTTGAAATGAATGAATTTCTGAATTTATTAAAATGTACATGAATATTTTAGCCCAAATAAAAAGGAAAAATAACGTAACGCAAGTATATGACTTTCATTGAATAGAAATTTTGATATGGCTTCTAAGTTGATGGCTTAGATGTTTGTGAGGCAGCTATCAACAATTACACTGACATTTCATGTTCTCTCTCTCTCTCTCTCTCTCTTTTATTATTTTAAAACTTTATCTATTGTGAATGAAACAAGATTTATGCATGCCCTTGTTGCTTTGTCGTACCCTTTTTCAAATCTACCGTACATGTTTCTAACCCTGTTCATCACTGCAGTTTTTTGTATTGAGAGATTATGCAAAGGAAACACTTTCCTTGAGATGGAGGTCCTGGATGACGAGTTATTACATGGATCGCTATCTGAAGAATCAAACATTCTATAAAATTCAGTCACAGTCAATTATTGATAATCCAGACCAGCGAATTGTTGATGATCTAAGTTCTTTCACTAGGACATCCCTCACTTTTTCCCTAACACTCTTTAATGCTGCTGTAGACTTAATCTCATTCAGTAAGATATTGTATGGAATCTATCCTCCACTTTTAGTTGTTCTTCTCGTATACTCTATTGGTGGGACAGCTATCAGTGTTTTCCTTGGAAGGGTAATGAGTATTTCTTTGATAGTTTAAATTGTCATGGAAAACTACCACCTGTCTCCCTAATAACTGAAAGGGTCTTTAAGATACTTTCCTGTTTACTAACTGGAAGTTGTGAAAATGTTAGGGACTGGTAAATTTAAATTTCTTGCAAGAGAAAAAGGAAGCAGACTTTCGTTATGGACTTGTACGTGTACGAGAAAATGCTGAATCAATTGCTTTCTATAGTGGTGAAGAAAGGGAAATGCAACTTCTTCTACAGCGCTTCAAAAGCGCTTTTGAAAATCTGACTGTGAGATATTTCTTCGTTATGCTTACCTTTTTTTTCACTTTTAAAACTGATTTTGTACATTATGTTGCCAGTATCTAACCTTGTGTTGGGAAATCCAAGTAACACCTTGTTGCAGGATCACTTCTTTTTCTTTATTGAGTTATGTATGCAGTTTAATCTTCTAATTTGTGATAACACAATGATGCATGTTTTTAACCTTTTATTTTTTACAGCAATCGCTGATTGTTTCTAGAAACCTGGAGTTCTTCACCAGTGGATACCGCTATTTCATTCAAGTTCTTCCTGCTGCTGTTGTTGCCCCAATGTATTTCTCAGGAAAAATTGAGTTTGGTGTCATCAATCAGTCACTTTCTGCTTTTAATCATATCCTGGGCGACTTTTCCCTTGTTGTATACCAGTTTCAATCTATAAGTGTTTTTTCTGCTGTTATTAATCGGTTAGGTACAACATTCTTTTTTCCCTTATCGTTTCTATTACTTTTTAATGTGTGAAACTCTCGTTAAAGATGATAAAGCACGAGTGACTCCACTATGAATTCTAATCTGCAGAAAAAGGGGATCCTTTTTGATAATTTGTGCTTATGTTTGCATGAACACAAATAATAATAAAAAAAGGTATTACAATGTTTTAAAGATGTTATTTGCAAGTTAACCAACTATAACTGTCCTTATTCATGTTACTTTCTTATATGAATCACAAGGGGTGATTTAGGATCTTTAAGGTTAGAACCTTGTAGAAAATTTAGTAATTTAGTGATAAGGTGGAAGGAAAGAATCATTCTTTTTAAGGAAGACAACACACAAAGGATGTGAAAGTCCTTTGATACAACAAAATATTCTTGAATCACTCAAGAACTTAGAAGAATCACTCTCACTAAGATAAAAGAGATAAACTCTGATATTTCTAAAAATAAACTCAATTTGTTATTTATGATAAAAATGGTTCAGCTTATAAAGAAGTTTTGTCATTAGAGTTACAAATATTCATTAAAGGAAAATAAATGCTAATAATGATTTATTAACTTAGGAATTGAAAACTAGTTAATGATTGATTGTAACTGAAATTGTAGCATCCAAGAGTCAATCTTCTTTTTTTCTCTCTTTTCTTGAAGAAAATTTTCTCTCATTCTCTTTTTATCCTCCTCTGCCATCAATTTGATATTCAAACCTTTAAACCGGGGCTCTGAATACCAACTGATATGAATCACAATGGGTAATTTAGGATTTAGGATCTTTAAGGTTAGAACCTTGTAAGAAATTTAGGAATTAGAAAGAAGGTGGAAGGAAAGAATCACTCTTCCCAAGGGATGCAACACACAAAGGATGTGAAAGTCCTTTGATACAGCCAAATATTCTTGAATCACTCAAGAATTTAGGAGAATCACTCTCACTAAGATAAAAGAGATAAACTCTAATATTTCCAAAAATAAAACTCAACTTGTTATTTCTGATAAAAATGGTTCAGCTTATAAAGAAGTTTTGCCATCAGAGTTTCAAATATTCATTAAAGAAAAATAAATGCTAATAATGATTTATTAACCTAAGAATTGAAAACTACTTAATGATTGATTGTAACTGAAATTGTGGCATCCAAAAGTCAATCAGCTATACACCCTCTTGGTCTCCCAAAGACTGATAACTAAATTTCCAATTGGACCCTTATTACAACTTGCAATAAAACTAAACTAAAGTCCATTAATTGATTAATCCAAAACACAATTTGGTCAACTAACAATACTTGTTGAAAAGCTTCTTTTGCTTTTCTTGCTCTAGCCCTTATCATAGGTCATGTTCACATCACTTTCCACCTTCCATTTCCCCTATCTTTTTCTCTCTTTCATCTTTTGCAGTTCATATTGCAAGTAGTTATACTCTCTTGTCTTTGTGATATTTATCTGTTCCACCTGTTGTCTTATATATGCTTGACAGGCTAGCCTTGTTGCTTTTAATTTAATGAGCTCTACCAAATAATATACATTGTATTGCATGTGCAGGTGAATTTGATGACGTTTTGGACAAAAGCAGCTCTAATTCTCTAACGGATACTTTGGAGGACATACAAATTACATATAAAGATTCTAGGAGTTCATCTCCATTGGAATCTAATGGATCGACTCCACTAGAAAAATATGCAACATTTCTAGAGATTGAAGATTTGATTCTGAAGACACCAAGTGGATCTACACTTGTTAGAGACTTGTCATTGATGATCAAGGAAAAGGATAATTTACTGGTAAGACATCTACTGGCTCCTCACTTACTGACAACATATTAAGAAGTTAGGGTTGTATTGTTAAGTTCATAATGTTGAAAAATTAATAATAATTATAATCCTGATTTTGATTCTAACTATCAAACATAAACATTATCTCATACTTATAAACATGTTGTAAACTGAATGTGAAAGCGTACTTGAATTAGTCAGAATGATAATATCCTTGTAGAGAGTACTATTGATCTTATGCTCTTCCATCTGAAGAGCACCTGTATTTCCCTCTTGATTTTCTCTCTCGATGGGGATAGAAAAAAAGGAATGAGACTGAGACTTACGTTTTGTATGTGCTCCCAGAAGGGAACTATGACCCTTTAAATAACCAGAATTAGGTTAATTACTTAAGTTTTAGTATTTCCAATTTGACCCCTCATCAAATTAGAAATTGTTTTATAGTCTCTACACAATTTTATTTTCATGACATATGTTTTTAGTCAAAACTTTAATTTAGTCAGATCACTTTTATTATTTGATTTAATAAATATCATATATATACATGATCCAAAATTTGTCAACACATAAGACCATAAGTTATACAAATGATCTTCTGAATATGGCCAAATTAACAGGTAATAGGACCAAGTGGAAGTGGCAAGACTTCTCTTTTAAGGGCTTTGGCTGGTCTATGGAAAACTGGAACTGGAAAGATCATATACTATGTAAAAGGTGGAGAAAATCCTGAACAATTCATTCGTTCAGATGCGAATATTCCAAATAATGGTCATGACACATATGAAGCAGATGAAAACCCTGTAAGCAGAAAATCTGGAATTTTTTTCCTTCCACAAAGACCATATATGGTTTTGGGTACACTTCGTCAACAGTTACTTTATCCTACTTGGGCCGATGATGTAGTTCCTATCTCGTCTGATAATACAAAACAAACCAGTATGTGATTTATAATTTCTTTTCCCCCCACGCCCAAATATATTACTTTTATTTCATATGCAATCTCATTTTTTAAATGAAAAATGGATGTCGTTTATTGTGCTTTATCTGTCTACCTGTCATTTGCTCTATTGCAATTTTTGAGACTTCAGACATTAATACTACCGTAGTTGTGGTTCTAACAGAGGTAATACTGAAATGGTGATATATTTCTTCTGCATGAATACTGGAAGCGCCCTTGATAGTCTTTCGTAGCAGCCTGACGGGCTTTATAATAGAAACGATTCATTTAATTGGAACTATGAGATTATTTGATCGGTACACATAAGCTATTATTAGCTAAGTTCTTTTGAACATGCAACTATAAAGGGATTTTTAGAATAATTGATATATCTTTTGTATTAAAGAAACATTTCTTGAAAACCGAACTTTCATTGACCTCAATGACTTGGAGGTGTAGCTGTCTAGAATCTTGCAAAATTCTTTTGTCTGAAATTGTCTATGCTTTGCTGAATGAGTGTTAAAAATTCTTTTGTAGATGTGCTTCCTTTCTTGACAAACTTGCCAAAATCGGACAACACAAATGATAAGCCTATGAAGCCAACTACAGATGAACTGATAAAGGTCTTAGAGGATGTACGCCTTGGATATTTATTAGGGCGTTTCAGTTTAGATTCAACCCGTGAATGGTCTAGTGTCCTTTCTTTGGGAGAACAGCAACGCCTTGCATTTGCTCGTCTCTTGCTTTCAAAGCCTCAATTGGCATTACTGGATGAAGCTACTAGTGCACTTGATGAAGCCAATGAGGTACTGTTGAATTCGTGAGTCCATATAATTATATGGATATTTGATTCAAAATATATGCCTAAATAAAAAAAAAATGCTCTCCCCCGCAAGTAAAAAAAGAAAAAAAAAAAACTTTTCCATACATCTGTGCACCATAGTCAACGTTCTCACTCATGCATGAATAATAATATGGATGTGCCTATTTAATTACTAGATCCTAATAGAGACACTATGAGCTAATACCTAAATACATTTTGAAAAAGATCACTGCAACTATATCATTCGAGTTTTCTTCCAAGTTCTTGTGAAGTATTGTTGCCTGAACTAATCCCTCGAAACATTGTCATTCATTTTTCAATATAATTTGCAATACTAATATGACTGTCTGTATACAAGTTGGATTAACTAACTTTATATTTAGATATGGAGAAGCATATAATCAAAATTATGGGTAGATAGAGAGCTTTTGGCTGAAAAGATTTGTTAGAAAAGCTCAATAAAAACTAAACATACTAGAGTGATATTGTAAAGGGGTCCAAACGAGTATATCGTTTTGAACATTGTATTATTATACATCCCTTCATGTTGATGTTGTGCTAAAGTTTATTTTCTTGTGCTTTTGCTTACAGGTTCATTTGTATCAAAAGATTGCAGCAGCAAACATGACATACGTCAGTGTTGGCCACCGGTCATCCTTGTATGATTACCACAACAGGATCTTACGGATATCCACCTATGATTCCAACAATGAACCACTAAATTGGTGCATTGGACCCACAAGGCTTGAGTCCTATTTAAAATTTAGAAATCTATGATTGTAGGGAGCTTCAGAATGGCTTGCAATGCTTTGCTACTTACCATCTCAAGAGACACAGGTCCCATTGAGCAGTAATTTTGACGTACATGATGCCAATCTATTGATTTCTTTTGCTACAACATTAAAATCAGTCCATTTTCTAATATAATCTATTAAAAATGTTATTGATTCAATTTCATTACTGTAAATATTTTGATTGATTATATTAGACAGTAAACCCATTTTTACAAATGCCTCTCGATTTATAGCTAGGACAACCTAAAAAATACATTGAAACAAAAGTCAATTAGTGTAAATCAAAGTAATGATAGAATTTAATCAGTATTTGGTTTGGTCACATTGAAGAACAAAAAGGAAAATATGGAAAAATGAGAAGATGGAGAACACGTCACAGGTTGGAAACACACTTCAACTAAGACTTCTAACCTTTTCACTATGTTTGTATCCAAATATATTTCATTTTTTAAATTGTCTTAAAATTTTATTTTAAAGAAAGAAAATACATTTTCCACAATTTTATTTATAAGGAAATTTCGAGAAAGACTTAAAAAAATGTTTGTGACATCTCTTAATTTTCTAATTATTTTAATTGTAATTCTTCCTTTATATTTTTTATGATTTTCTTGGATATCTTTTTTATTTTATAACTCATTCTTTTATAGTAGTTCTTCCTTTTTGTGATTTAAGTTCTTTTTTAATTTGTTCTTGATCCGATGTTTTATTATCCTCTTCTTGAAAAGAATTTGCCTATACATTTTGTTAATCCACATCATAAAAAGATAAATAATTTACATTAAAACTACTACTAACACCATATATTAAAGAAAGATTTATTTGTGGATTCATGCGTTGGTGAGAGTCATCTTAGTACCAAGGATAAGATGTATTTTCAATAGTCATTCAGCTCAAATAAAGTAAGTCTATGAATCTCAAAAAAGTTTTGATAATAGTGGATTTAAAATTGTGATAAAAGAAGTAAGTCCATGAATCTCGAAAAGTTTTGGTAACAGTGAATTTAAATTGTGATAAAAAGACATGTGACATGAACTTGCCAATAACAAAACAAATGGATTCATCAATAATGATATTGATTAGTTAATAAAGCAAACAAGAATAATATGATAAAAAAGAAAAAAATATACCAAATTGTATTTCTTGCATGCTTGTGTGCGACATAAAATGAGTGAGAGATTTACTCTATAAATAATATTTTTTAGATGAATGGCATAATTAAGTTGCACATTCACACGTGGATTCACACTTGATTAATATTCTTAAAGGTAGGTAAACATATAATTGATAATGGATTAAGATTTACCTTTTTAAATTATATCTATGATTATTATGAATAAAAGTTCTTTTTATGTCTTGATTCCGAGTCGGGATATATTTATCTAATTTATTGTTAGAGTGACCAACAAAGATGATTTGTTAAGTTTTTCTGAGGGAGATTTACAAGAAAGAAATAATACTAATGAAGTATAAGTCTAATTTACTTAAGAAATTAACATCACTTTCAACCAAAAATCTTAACGTACTTAGATTATGAGTCATACTTCTTTATATATTATTCAATTTTCTCGTTTTTATTTAATATAAGACTTGTATTCATACATTTATTTTCCTAATAAAATATCTTTAATAAGAATAAAAAGTTACAAAAAGAATTTTGAAAAAAATATAGGTAAAATATCTCATATATCTTGTTAGAAGATCCCAATATTTTTATATTATAAAATTATGTTAATGTGAATTTCAATTATTAGTTTAAAAGAACGTTTATTCCTATTTTTATAGAATTATGATAATATACTCTTAATTATTTATTTTTATATATTTTAATACTATGTCAATCATCAATTTTTAATTCAAAATATATTATTAAATATATTATAAAAAATATTTTATTTATAAAAATTGTTATAAATAAGTATTTTTAATAAAAATAATAAAATAAATGAAATTCTATTAAATAATTATAAAAATATAAGCATCTCTTATAAATTTAAATTTTGATTAAATATGTTTTTTGTCCTTTAATTATTTTCAAAAAATGTATTTTGTTTTCGATATAATATATAAAATCAATTTAATTCTTATATTTATATAAAATAATGAAAATAGTCTTAACAATAAATGAAAGATTCAAACTGAATTATTTCACTTTGAATATATATATATATATATATATATATATATATATATATATATATATATAATTTCATTTAACGTGTCATAATGATAATTTTCTCAAATGTCATTTAGTTTATACGGTGTTGCATGTAGTTGCAATCCCATTATTGTGTGTAGTGAGTTTGTGAGATTTTGTAGTTGTTTTTATCAATTTTAGCATTGCTTTTCATTATAAGACAAGGAGAGGAACTTTACGAGACTAAACTCAAAATTAGGATTTGATTTAAATAATTTCTAACTCGTTTTAAATAATTTAAGATGAAAAACATATTTAATCTTTTAAATTTTAAGATATTACTATTTTTTTTAATGAAAATATGATCATTATGCCATAACATACACATGCTCCGAAACTAAGACATCAAATTAAATTACAAGAACTCAATCAGTCTCTAATAAATTTTGTTGTTCTTCACTTTTTAATAATCAAATCTTAATTAACGCAAGTCGTTTGTAATTAATTTGTCAGTAAATTCTTCTCTGTGGATCTATTGCTACCCCATTTTTTATTCTATGCGTGGCAGCATGCGCATCACAAGAAATCCCACCTTTGGGATAATTCCCCGATAATAATAATAATCTGAGGCAACAAATTTTTCTCTTCTAATCTATCTCTGTAACACCAAGAACGAACAAATTCCAACACACATAGCATTCACTGTAACATTCCAACTCAGCCAAATTTGAAGACTACTTCATTTTTTGAAGCCACACATACACAGAGAGTCCCAGAGTGATGGGCAACTGTTGGGTTACAAGAAAAAACATGGAAACCAAGCATTGATTATGCACATCTATTAGCTCTGGGCCAAATTAAGAAAGAATACCCAGAAAGGAAAAAATGATCTTGCTGACTCAACCAACATGCCCTCTTTTCACCTTTACCTCTGACTATAAGTTCAACCCTCCATTATCAAATCATAATGTTCAATTTAATGTTGGTTTTGGTGTGTTTACTCCATTTTCTCAAGTGCCCATTTACAGAAGGGGGCCTTACAGGAGGAGGAACTGGGACAGGTGCTCCTCTTCTGCTGCAGCACAAGCTCCATTGCCACCTGACCCTGATAAGGTATACTTGTGTTGTTGATACTGTTTCTTTGGATAAACAATACACTGTTTTGGTTATATTCTTTATCATAGGTTGAAATTAATTGGAAATTACAAACTATTTAATGGTTCTCCATGTTGATATTGCAGTTTTCAATATATTTTAACCATTAGTTGGTAGAGATTGGATAAGAAAGAATGTGTTACAATTGATTCTCTTCTTTGGATTTTCTAAATGGTTTGGTCGATTGATAGTGTTGAAAAGTTTGAAAATTGTATCGGAAGTGCAGGAAGACAGAGAAGTGGTAAAAGAGAGTAATGCTGTAGTTCCTGCACAGGGTGAGAGTCCTGATCTGCAGACACTTTTCAGAAGGTTCTGGAAGGTGGCAGCTCCTTACTGGACTTCAGATGACAAGGCGCAAGCAAGGTTGCAGCTTGCTGGTGTTTTTGCTCTCACTTTGGCTACCACTGGAATCAGTGTTGGCTTCAGTTTCTTGGGGAGAGACTTCTTCAACGCACTTGCTAGTAAGTTCATGTGTGTTGGAATTAAGGCAGATAAGTAAGATAGAGAAGAATATTTAGAGCTGAAAGCAAGGAATCTTGTATTTTATTGATCAATAACATTTACAACAATTGAAAGAACAATATAATTATGAGTAACTGACTGACTTTCTCCTCAAGTAAAAGTGTCAATAGCTAACTACTATGACATTATTTTGGAAATTGAAACAAAATTATAAAGTCATGTGCAATACATAACGCAAATATTTAACAATGTGTGTATGTGGAACAGCTACCTTTTTTTATCTTCTATTTACCATCTATTTGGGCATGAAGTTTTTGCTTGTTGTTGAGATTTTCTGCTGTTTACTGTTGTATAAAGTGGCATCAAGGAACTTAACATTTTTATGTTTATTAATGCTAGACAAGGATCAAGAGCAATTCACGAAGCAACTACTTTACTACTTGGGTGGCTTTGCTGGAGGAATCCCGGTGAGCAAAATGCTGCACTTTCTTAGGTATAGCTCTGCTATACTTTGCTTTAATTCCTAGACTGATGTATACTGTCAAACCTGTAAGAAACGAGAGTGAATAAGAGAACTAACTCACACCATGGTATATGAATTACCTAGACGTGACTTTGAAAGTTGCGCCTTTTTATGTTTTTATTCGTCATATGAGAACTTGGACAATACACATAAGTAACTTTCCTTTTTTTATTCTTTTGAAGTAGGCTCCCTTCTTAATTGTATTCTGTCATTCTTCTGGATCTATAATTGTTATTGAAATGAGTGAATTTCTGGACGTAGTTAAGAGTACATGAAGATTTTATCTCAAATATAAAGGAAAAATAAAGGGAAATACATGACTATTGTCTGATACCAATTTTACAATGTTTTTACTAAATCCACAATTACCATGACATTCCATGTCCTTCTGTTTCTCTTTTTCTGCGGTGAATGGAGACAAGATTTATGCGTTCCTTCTGTATTATTTATTGTTTGTCATACCCTTATTCCAATCTTCTGCACATATTTCTAACCTAGTTCATCATTGCATTGCAGTTTTTTGTATTGAGAGATTATGCAAGAGAAACTCTATCTCTGAGGTGGAGATCTTGGATGACGAGCTTTTACATGGATCGGTATCTGAATAATCAAACATTCTATAAAATTCAGTCACAGTCAATTATTGATAATCCAGACCAGCGAATTGTCGATGATCTAAGTTCTTTCACTGGGACATCCCTTGCTTTCTCCCTGACACTCTTTAATGCTGCTGTGGACTTAATCTCATTTAGTAACATCTTGTTTGGAATCTATCCACCACTTTTTGTTGTTCTTCTCGTGTACTCAATTGGTGGGACAGCTATCAGTATTTTCCTTGGAAGGGTAATGAATCCTTTCTATATTTTTAGAGATAGTTCAAGTTGTCAGGGAAAATGACCACCTGTCCCCTAATAACTGAATGACCCTTAAGATAGTTCCATTTTTATTAACCGGAAGTTGTAAAAATGTCAGGGACTGGTGAATTTAAATTTCTTGCAAGAGAAAAAGGAAGCAGACTTTCGGTATGGACTTGTACGGATTCGGGAAAATGCTGAATCAATTGCATTCTATAGTGGTGAAGAAAGTGAAATGCAACTTCTTCTGCAGCGCTTCAGAAGTGCTTTTGAAAATCTGACTGTGAGACATTTCTTCTTTATATTAGCATTTCTACTTTTAAAACTACTTTTGTGCATTATGTTATCAGCATCTATGTTCACGCCAATTGATTACTTGAGTTATATTGCATATAGTTCTCACCTTGCTTGATTTTATATAATCAACATAAGTTATCTGCATTTAATGTAAAGATTGTTTCTCTATCTGTTTTCTATATATTGATTGCAAAAATTGATCGCTGTAAAATTATATTGACTTCAATATATAGGTAGCTTACAGAATCATTTGAAAGCTAGACAGCCATGTAGGTTGACCAGATTTTGGGAATTTGGAAACTCTATGAAATGCCAACGTAGCCTTGTTGCAACATCACTTATTTTTCTTTTTTACTTATGTACAGCAATTGCTGATTGCTTCTAGAAATCTGGAGTTCTTCACCAATGGCTACCGCTATGTTATTCAAGTTCTTCCTGCTGCCGTTGTTGCCCCCATGTATTTCTCGGGAAAAATTGAGTTTGGTGTCATCAATCAGTCAGTTTCTGCTTTTAATCATATCCTTGGTGACTTTTCCCTTATTGTGTACCAGTTTCAGGCTATTAGTGCTTTTTCTGCTGTTATTAATCGGTTAGGTACAACATCCTTTTCCCCTTATCTTTCCTGTTACATTTTAATATATGCAAATATCGCGAAAGATATGAGCATAAGTGACTGAACCATGAAGTTTTACTCTTCAGAAAAACGGTTGAATAAACACAAATAAAAAATCCCAGAAATGAAAAAAAAAAAAGAGTATTACAATGTGTTATAGATGGTATTTGTGAATCAACGAATGCCCTTATCTATGTTACTTTCTACCCTTCATTTTCCCCTTTTCTCCCTCATCGTTTTTCACACGCTGCAGCTCATTTTGCAAGAGGATATACTCTGCTTTCTTTGTCGTAGCTATCTGTTCCATCTGTTGTTTTATTTATGCCTCTGAAACTCTCATTTACGTGTTTGCTTGACAGGCTAGCTTTGTTCCTTTGCATGTAATGAACACTACTAACTAATATATATTGTATTCCATATGCAGGTGAATTCGATGATGTTTTGGACAGAAGCAGCTCTAACTCTCTCACTGATACATTGGAAGACATACGTATTACATACAAAGATTTTAGGAGTTCATCTGCATTGGAATCTAATGGCTCCACTCCACCAGAAAAATTTGGAACGTTATTGGAGGTAGAAGATTTGATTCTGAAGACACCAAGTGAATCTACACTTATTAGAGACTTGTCATTGACAATCAAGGAAAAGGATAATTTACTGGTAAGATATCCACTGAAAATCTATGGCCAGGGTGGAATTATCCCTTTCTCCTGTTTCCTTTTTGTACAGACATTAATTATACAATTACTGACTTCTGATTAGTCTACTCTTGTCGCGCGGCCCTTCCTCATCAACAACATATTAAGTTGTTTAGGTTTGTATTGATAAGTTCATAAAACTGTAGGGCTATACAAATGCATTTCTGAATATAATCAATTTAACAGGTAATGGGACCAAGTGGAAGTGGCAAGACTTCTTTGTTAAGAGCTATGGCTGGTCTATGGAAAACTGGAACTGGAAAGATCACATACTATGTAAATGGTGGAGAATATCCTGAGCAATCCATTTGTTCAGATGTGAATACTCCAAATAATGCTCATGATACAAATGAAGCACATGGAAAATCCATAAGCAGAAAATCTGGAATTTTTTTCCTTCCGCAAAGACCCTATATGGTTTTGGGCACTCTTCGTCAACAATTACTTTATCCAACTTGGGCTGATGATTTAGTTCCTATGTCAGATAGTACAAAACAAACAAGTATGTGATTTCTTCCTCCCACACCTAAATATATGGTTTTTGTTTCTAATGCAAATATTTTTTTAATATTAAAAACAGATGTCTTTTGTTGTTCTCCAAGTGTCTACATCTCATTTGCTCTATCGCAATTTGGGAGACTTCAAATAAATAATACTACTTAGTTGTTGTAAGTCTAACATAGGTGGTGCTGAAATGAAGAGGAAATATTTCTCCTGCAGGAATGCCAGAAATGCTCTTGTAGTTGACTTAACCTTTATAAAAAGAATGCTTAATTAAAAGATAATTTACATATAGGAAATACGAAATTATATGATTGTTAGGCATGAGGTATTATTAGCTATGTTGTTTTAATTATGCAACTATAAAAATTGCCTTTTAGACAAGATAGCAATTGATATATTTTTGTAAACTCTGCCTGCACGATGTTGATCTAAATGTTTACAAAGCCTATTAAAGAAACATCTCTTGAAACTGAACTTTCATTACCCTCACTGAAATGGAGCTGTAGCTGTCCAGAATCTTGCAAAAATGGTACCTTTAATTCCATGCAAGCTGTTGGTCAGACATTTGATCTTGGTTGTTCCCCAGAACATTAATCCCTTTTTTGATAAGGATCAACCCAGGTCCATATAAATATGTTTATGTATGCGTTTACCCTTCGAATAGAATCCAGACTTCATAATCAAGTAAGAAAACACAATCAAAGTGATCAATTCTGAGCATGGGCTTGTAGGTTGCAACAAGTTCCAATTGTCAAATTATAATTCATCTTGTTTTTTACCAAACTGTATTGAAGAGATGAGAAAATCAGAAACTCAATACTATTATCTAATCTGATTAGGTAGAAATATCCTTCCTAATTTATACCAATGTTATGTTATTAGTAGTCTGCTGGAAATTGTGTAAGCGTGGCATTGAGTGTTTAAAATATTGGTCTGCAGATGCACTTCCTTTCTTGACAAACTTGCCAAACTCAGAAAAGGCAAATGATAAACCTATGAAGCCAACAACAGATGAGCTGATAAAGGTCTTAGAGGATGTCCGCCTTGGATATTTATTGGCTCGTTTCAGTTTGGATTCAACACATGAATGGTCTAGTGTTCTTTCTCTGGGAGAGCAGCAACGCCTTGCATTTGCTCGACTTTTGCTTTCAAAGCCTCAATTGGCTTTACTGGATGAATCTACAAGTGCACTTGATGAAGCCAATGAGGTATTGTTGAATTCCAAGTTCACATGATGTATCATATGGAAGGTTCTGTTATTTAATAATATATTTCATATATAATATGGACATTTGACTTGAAATATAGGTCTATACAAAAGAAATGCTTTCCTCCCTCGAGAAGCAAAATGTTCAACTCTTTCTGTCTTTGCACCACACTCATCTTTTACACTCAATGCATGAATATGGATGTTCTTATGTAATTACGAGTTACTAGCTCTTAATAGAGACTCTATGAGCTAATAATACATAAGAAACTACTCATGAAAGAAAAACACTGCAGCTAAATTTCAAATGGCTTTTCATCAAATTTCTTATGAAGTACTGTTGCTTGAACTTACCCCATTGAAACATTGCTATGACGCTTTTTAATATAATTTACGATAGTAATATAAATGTTTGGATTAGGTTATATTATATTTAGAAAAGCATAGTCAAAATGCTGCAAAGAGAACTTTTGGCTGAATAGTTGTTATTTTTTATAAGATTCAACAAAAACTAAACATACTTGAGTTATATTGTTGATGGATCCAGAATAATATATTACCTTGATCATTTTCATTATTATATGAAAAATGTTATTCTACACCGAGAGAGAGAAGTGTGGGTATGATATATGTTATCATGTGCTAGAAAGTGATAGAAAAAAGTTATTGACATGTTGATAAAGTGTTTGTAAAATAATAGTGTTTGTAAAATAATAGTGTTCATGTATCTGTATCACCACTTTTACCATGTTGATGTTCTGAAGTTCATTTCCCTATGCTTTGGCTTGGCTTGCAGGTTCATTTGTACCAAAAGATTGGAGCAGCAAACATAACATATGTCAGCATTGGCCACCGTTCATCCTTGAATGATTACCACGAGAGGATCTTGCGCATATCCACATTTGATGCTAACACTGAACGGATAAATTGGTGCATTGGACCTACTAGAGCTGAGTCCTCTTTAAAATTTACAAATCTATGAGCTTGCAGTGCTCACCATCTCAAGAGATACATGGTTCCATTGCATTAAACAATAGTTTTGATGTATATGATGTCAAGGATGTAGATTGTATTCTATTATAGTCTATTAATAAATATTATTGATTTAATTTCACAACTGTAGATATTAGTTTGATCAGACAGTAAATATTTTGAAAATTAGGTACTCAATCTTTGTTTCTTCTTGTAATATACCTAAAGATGCTGAATATCACATTCAGGAGGTTGAAGAAGCAGAATTTTCAAATCTTTGGTAGGTTCAAATGATTAACTTATGAGGTTCGTGCAAGGAATATTGGAAGTTGGACCCTATTTTCCGTAGGAAAGGTGTTCTAGGAGATGCTTGAAGTGGAAAAATTAAGGGACATGTTAGGCAATTACTTTTGACACCTCAATAATTTCTTTCAACACCTCATTACAGTAAATTTCCGATAATGATTTTTTAAAATATTTACACTTATATGTAAAATGTTATTCAAAATGTATTAAAGAGTTTGCTGAAATGAAGGGTTTTATAAATCTCTTGATCAATGAAAAATCAAGTAGTCTAAGGATTTTATAGGATGATATAAGAATATTAAAAATACTAGGTGGTTTATATATCCGTAGGATCATTATCTTGTGGGTATATTTTAGGTTATGCATGTGTATTTCTTACTAACCCTTAAGTGGAGTAATGTGGGTAAAAGGTTTTCTGATGATTAAGTAAGTAACTAAAAGAGTTTGCGCCAAGGGGAAATTAAACTTGTTTATACAGAAATGAATTATTATAATCGTCTAAGATATATGAAATATTTTATCCTTAATATTTTTTAGAATAAATTAATATTCAAATATTATTGAGATATTTTCTTTGGATATCTCGATAATCATAATATTAAGACTAATTAGGTACAAACTTAGTTATTAGTTTCTTAATACACTTTCTAATAAGATGTATCAGGAAGAGTTTGATAGATGTTATTATTATTATATTAGAGTTATTTTTTGCGAGGGTTGAATAATTATGTATAAATGTTGGTTAGAATGTTTCATTCCCAAACATTAAGAAAAGCTTTTCCTTTGGCTAAGCTTCATAAACTCTATGAAGCTGCTAATAGTGAAGGTACAACATAGAGCTGAATATGGAAAATATGATGGGCATAGCCAATTTTAGAAGCATGAGGGTCACGGTAAGTATAAAAAGAAATCTTGACATATGACAGTGGAAGTACTCGTAACCTTGTAGATGTGCAGATGCCAAAAATAGGTTATAAAATTGAAGGATTAAAGCCAATGGTTATTATGGCGGATGGAATCAGGGTGCAAGTTGCTTCCAATGTGAGGAATTTTAGTTGGACCATCCCACATTCTACATTCACTTCAAATGTCACGTTGATTCCATTAGGAGACATAATTTTGATAGGTTGAGTGTGTTAAAGGAAGGAAACATATAAAGAGAGGAGCTTCACAACTACGGATAAAAAATATGTTAGTGTTGAAAAGAATGAATGAATTGAAGCCCAAGATGAATAATTTACAGATTTTCATAAACAAAATTATCAAAATTGAGCAAGAATTAATATCACCATGGAGTATAAGTGTGAGATGAGGAAGAAAAATAATACATAAAGAATTATATTAGTTCTGTTCAAGTCGAGAGCTATTTCGTGTTATCTTCTCACGTTAATTAGAAAATCTATCAAGTCTAATGAATGTATAAAAACCTGATCTTATAATCAAGAAAGCAAGCTACAACTAATAATCTTAAACCGTACAAGATTATCAAATCATATATTAAATATTATCATGAGACTAAGCATAATCTTGACCACTCCATAAAGCTGGTCTCCCAAAAAATTTTGTACACTTCTCTATGTAATTTATGATTTTGTCTCACCTCAAACTTAATGATCATTTAATATTTTAAGTATATATCTATAATTTTATCGTTTCACTCTTTCATCTTTTTTTCTTTTATATTTATTTATTATTTATTAATAATATATTATTTAGCTTCCTCAAGATAAATAGTCAAAATCCGTTAGTATACATCAAGTAAATGAAACATAAGTCTGGCATACTAAAAGATCACAAAGTTACTCCTTGAACCACAATCACCCAACCAACCTTAGCTAAATAGTGAAGAGCACTAACTTAGAAGTTAGACCACCGAAGTCAAGTACCACAATGACCACACTAGTCAAGAAAATAATATGTTTATAAAGAACTAATTTATGTACAACACAGTATTGTAGAATTACATATAATCTACCCTAATCAAACTTTTATAGCTTAAAGCTATATTCCTTTGGATGAATTATGGGAGAATAGGTTTTGAAAACCTATTCTCTCTTAGAAAAATATTAAAATTGGTTTAAATGCAAAATAACAATGTATTTCTCAAAAAAAAAAAATCTTTTGTGAAATTTTTAATTAAAAACTCTTTAAAAGCCACTAAATTTATTGAAAAAAGAATTAGAACAAATTGACATGTTATTAGTTAGCTAAATTATTTTTTGAAAAGTTGACTTAATGAATAAAATAGGTTTTTAAAACATGTTTTATCCAAAAATATGCAATCATTTGTTCCCTGTTAGTTGACCCACTAGATGATAACATCTACGATGACACAATGCAAAAATCGTGTGTAAAGAGTTTAGCAACATAAAATTTAAAAGTTTCACAGAGAATAATAAAGACCCAAACCCATCAAACAAGAGCACAATATTAGTGAAGACCTATGATGATTAACATCAATTAATATTATGCAAACTTATACGAATTCATGAGACCACAGACTTATTTAACGAGGTCACCTTAACAGCAACTTATAATAACTAAGGGAGTAGTTAACTCCAATTAGCTTGTCTGACTCTGATAGTTTATAAAACAGTCGATTGCAACTGTTTATCTAAAGAGCTCGCAAGTTTATCAATTCATGTGATATATTTATTGATTAGTTTGTTTTAGGGGTATCAATATAGGTTATAACTCTTGAGTCAGTTGGCTCATCACGGGTTTGAGTCGGGTTGGGTTCGATTTTTTTTTTATTTCTATCAATTATGGGCTAAAAATGAACCCGATTCACTTAATTCACGGGTTAGACGGGTTCGAGCCAGGTTATGGTGGGTTGGCCCGCAACCCACCATTAATTTTAAATTTTAAAAATAATTATAATAATATACTAACCCTAATTAATCTTCTTTTTTTAATTTTAAAAATAATTATAATACTTTAGTAATCCTAATTGATGTTATATCTCATCTCTATCCTACATTGTCGCTGCCACTATAAGCCAAACTCTTACTCAAGCTTGTTATCGGTTGTTCATCGCATCACTACGTTTATCGTTGTACTTGGGTCACTTGTCTTATTATCTCATCCACTGCACCACTACACAACCATGTTCCCTGTACAGCTTTCAAAGGTAAGAATTTGTACCATAACCTAAACGATTGGATTGATGAATCTTTATTTGAAAATTGTAGCATCTATGCATTTATAATTGTTTGCTAATTTTATTTATGTACCAGGATGATACTTTGTTTTTTTTTAAGACTATAATGTTGTTTAAGAGTATTTGAATTATTTGGATGTTAAATTTATTCACTTAGTATCTTTATAATGTTATTATGTTAATATCTTACAATGCAATTATATATATATATATATCATTTAAAAAATTTTGAAAATATGGGTTAGTGAGTCAATCTACCAACCCGTAGTGGATTGAGTTGAGTTGTAAAATTTACAGCTCGTCAAAAAGTAAGTCGGGTTGAGTTCACATATTTTCGAGTTCAACATGTTGTGAGCCAACCCGTATGAGCGAGGATTGACTCACTTTCACACCCCTAATTTGTTTAATGATCCAATATAATATAATTCTCAAATATTTTAATCTCTCTTTAGCGATGACAACACATTCCTATTTTTAAAATAAACATACAATAACTTTTTTGCCTCTTTTTCCACTACCAAATACCTATACATTCCTATATTTACCATATAAATTATTTTTATAAATAACTGCATAAAAAAAGTATAGAAAAAATGTTATATATTTGAAAGTATAAATAGTTTGTAATAATTATTCTAAAACATGAAGCAACGATAATTTTTTTATTAGATAAAATAAATTATCAAGGCCTAATATTAATATTAATGTTTATTGTGAATTTGATTAAACATTTTTAATGAATTATTTTATTTTAACCATTTTTTTTATAAGGATTGAATTTGAAATGTTATTTTAAAAGACCTAGGTACCACTCAAATCAACAAGTTGGTAATAGCCTTAAAAAATTCTAAAAGTGATTTGCATATTTTCAACATGTTTAATGTTATTTTATAAAAAACACATGTATAATATCAGTTGAAGAGATTTAATCATTGACTAAAAAAAGTTAAGAAAAGTAAAGTTTCTCTTTGAATAATTAATTAGAAAGGAAAATCCGTTGATTTTTCATCATACATAAAGTTGACAAGACATGGAGTACAAAATAAGAGAAACAATAATCACGGCATTAAATAAGTTATCTCAAATTTATGAATCCATCATAAAGTGCCAAATTAAATTTATTTGATAAATATAAAGTACATTTATTTTGTACAAAAAAAAAACTCCAAAGAATAAAAAATTCTATTCAAAATTATGACACCCAATTGTTGAATTTTGTTGCTTTGGTTCTAGTGTGTATGATTGAACGATAATACCTATAAAATCATGTGAATGAATGATTATAATTGTAAAGTCTGATACCAGATTCTGAAAATAGTTCTATATATTTATTTTTGTCCTATTCAACTACACATTCACATGATGAGAGAATTGTATTCAAAATGAGAAAACTTATAACATGACATTGTGGTTGGGGTGAATAAAATCACATGACAGTGAAGTGATCCAGCAAAGGACCTGCATGAGTCCACGTTCAACGTATGAAATGTTTACATTATTCATGATGGTCATGGTGATACTTTATTTATATGCTTAGAATCTCTCAGCACAGCACTTTTTGATGTTCAGAACAGTAGTACTAGTTTTTGACGTTGGAAACCTAGTGATGTAGGAACCCAGATGGGTCCAATGTTTTTCAGAAGAAAACAGATTTTGGAAATTGTGCAATCTATCAGCAGCATGAATGGACCTGGTTTCCCAGATAGAATCATCCTCATTTGCCAATTATTCCGACAAAAAGATGTTATAATTCAACAGACATGTGTAATTTGTATGTTTTGCAGTGTAATTCCAAAAAGGGACATTTATTTTATCATTTTCTGCATAAAACTGTGCACCACCTTCACTCCTCCATTCATAAGCCCACCGCAACCTTAAATTACAAATTTTCTTATCTTTCGACGGTTTCTTCTGTATTTTTTTATTTTTTTTAATTTGTTGCTTTTAAATTGATAAATTCAATCGTTCATTTTTAAAAATATATTATTTTATATCTAAATTTAATATTTAATAACTATTTATTGTTATAAAGTTCATAAAATAATCAAACTTGCAAAATTTATACCTGAATTTAATATTTAATGACATTTTATCATTATATAATCGATAAAAATGATTAAATTTACCACCACATTTTTGTTCCTCGTAACGACATGATACTCAAGATGATTATATAATAGACTTTCTTATTAGTTACTTTCAAAGATGGAAAAAGTAAAACAAATTCAATTTCTCTATGCAGATTAAAATAAATTTGTAGAATTTTATTCCTACAGAAACATAGATGATTTGTCCATTCATGAAAAATATTATTAAAACACTATCCTTAATTAATTGTTCTTTTATTTTTAATGGTCTTACAAGGAAACATTAATGTTTTGTATTGCCGCAACTCTCAATGGTCTAGAACTTGATCAAATTATGTTTTTTTATTGAAGAAAAAAGTTTTATTAATGATACAACACTTTCTGACTTTCTTTCTGTGGCATCATTTAATTTCATCTCATTTCCCTCTCTTAGTTACATAGTATATTGTGAATTGTGCATAAATAACATTTCTAAGGAGATAAAAAGGATCAAATAAATTACAACAAACAAAAATTCAACTTCAATGTTCATAACATAAGAGTTTACATTAATGACCACTCAAAAGAAAACACTCTGTTTAAAGTAATCTTACACCTGCAGCCTGTATACTAAGATGAAAAATCCTAAACAGCACTTAAAAGCCACCAAAGCCCAAATATTTGGCCTGATCAGTGAAATTTTGGCCAATATCTGACCAAAGAGTGAGAAGCAATGGTGGCTGCAACTGCCACACCAAAGCACAACCGCACTAGGAAATATGAAGTTGTTAGACTCAAAATTTGCTTCATGCTTGAGACAAGTCCCTATCTAGAAGACCTATCCACTCACTAACTGTACAAGCCACCGAGGACAAGAAAGAATGTCCCTGGATATTTTAGTTATACCACCATTATTAAACAGACATGAGGACTAACAACTACCATCCACATACACACCATTCCCATTGGTATATACACCATTCAAGGAACCATTGGGTGCTTTGAAGACCTTTCCTTTTGGGCGTGGTTTCAGTTTTGGTGAGGGTATATTACACCCAGTTAACTTGGAGTGACCATTTGGCACCAACCTCCTTGGTTCACTTGCTGCTGCTATTAATCCTGATTTGTCAATGAGGCAGTAACAGCATTTAGTGTATAAAATGAATGTAACTGTTACTCTAAGCCAACTAGAGTTAAATAGAGTATATGATGGAAACAAGGGTATTTACTCTTCCACATAGATTCCACATATATGAGACTTGACGTCAAATATAAAATGAACAGGTTTTCAACTATCCAAGTTAAACATAGAGACACAGATTTGATTCATTCTGATGATGTGAAGAAAACACAGGATCCCCAAACCCAATGACATCAATATATGAATTTGAACAGAAAAAAGATGGGAAATGACTCAAGAAAATACCTGAGAAGAGTGGAGAAGGTTTTCCTGGTCTGGACTTGAACTCAGGGTGAAACTGAACGCCAATATAAAAAGGATGGCTAGGCAATTCAACTATCTGCACTCATGCACATGATTACCAGAATTATAATTAACTTTGTACAAATCTTAAGATCCACGCCATTATACAGTTTCAAGTAAAGACTCACTTCCATGCGCCTCCCAGTTTCATCTTTGCCAACAAAAGATAGACCAGCAATCTCTAGCTGTGATATCATCTCAGGATTGACCTGCACAGTATGACAAACATTTTTAGTGACTATGATTGCATGTTTAGCCATAACGAACGTTTCCCATTACAGACACAATTTACCTCATATCTATGTCGATGTCGCTCATCAATAAAGCTTACATTGCCATACCTATAAAGAATTTCAAATTACAGAATCACATATATGCAGTATCAACATATAATTGAGATCCAGAAGCTAGCATTTTGAATTAATAAATTTATTACACATTTGATAGTGATTTTTTCCTTTTTTAAATCAAAGATAAACATTTTCAATAAAATAAATCCAAGTAAAAAAAGTAAATTCAGTTAATTCTTACAATTTTGCAGATTTGCAGTCCGCAACATCAAAGTAGGTTCTTCTTGAGCCAAGTCGCATAGTTGCCCCCATATGAGTCTTTGAGCCCTATCCAAAAAATACAAACCAGATTAACTAGGTTTCAAAAAGGAACAATACTATCAACTTACGCACTACATGAATTATAAGAGAATATACTTCTGGCATAAATATGACACAAGGGGTCTTGGTTTCAGTATTAAACTCTGTGCTAGTAGCATCAAGCAGACCTAGAACAGATCGTGCAAACTCAATTACAGCAATTTGCATCCCCAAGCAAATTCCCAGAAATGGAACGTTATTTTCTCGAGCATACTTGGCAGCAAGAATTTTCCCCTCTACTCCTCTATCACCAAAACCTCCTGGAACTAGAACCCCATGAGCACCCTGCAGCAGAATTTCATTCACAGAAAACCATTAAATAATATATCATTTTAAACCATTTAAACAGATTATCAGTATTTCAGATCAGAAAATGAAAGAAACATGTTCAGTCTAAATAGTACGAATACCTTTAAAAGATTCCATGCAGCTTTATATGCCTCAGGATCCTGCAGTAGTACCCCAATCAATCATCAGATGGTTGCATAAAGTAAAACCAAAAGGTCAACTAACATGAGTAGTACTGCAGAAAGATCAATAATCACCTCTTTATGAGTAACTTCTTCAAGATCCCCAGCCGGAACCCAGTCCACGATAAGTTTACGCTTTCGAGCAACCGAAGCATGTAGAAGTGCCTTCACAAAAATACAAGTTCATCAGCTTAAGGTATACCAGGTTTCAGTTTAACAATATTATTTCAATATGCATATTAAATAAATAAATAAAAAAGTTGCAGATAATGCAAAAGGAGGAAATTATTGTGTATTAAATACCAGGGTTCAATTACAAATTTAGGAGTAAGTTACCTTCAGAACAGAAAGATATGCATCTGAAAGGCCAGTGTATTTTCCCACCATTGCAATTCTAACCTGTAAGCGCATAATGGTTGTAACTTGTAAGGTCAACAGTCGCCATTATTCTGAGAAATTAATATCTATAGACACCTTTTCTTTTTTAGATCATATATATTTGAGATGTTTTACACTCACAATTTCATCACATCTGTCATAAACTTTTGTCCTTACAGTCCACTCCTTCAAATTAGGCTCTGCAGCAACACTGCCAATAATAGAGGCATTAGTTGAAAGGCAAACACTTTGACAAACAGCTGCCACATAACCACATTTTCAGAAAATCGTAATAGATTAAATCCTATGGGGGAATGGAAGGGGTTATACACCAAAAAAGAATGAGTTTGCAAAACCAACCCTAGCAAGTTTAATGCTTTCAGGATCGCCTCATGTGCCTTCTGGTCCTATTTGTTAAAAAAGATAAATTCAAAGGAAAAAGTTTAGGGTCTTGCATGAATCAAACCACTTATATGCAAGTATGCAATTCAACTTTAACAAAAAAAAAGGCTATAAAATACCATGAATTAACAAATTAAACTTCATAAATATGGTTTCAGCAGTCCTAGAAAACAGTCACAGAGAAGAGTTTAAACACTTACTTTCAACAGCAAAGGAATATGCCAAATGTTTGGAACATCATGGAGAGTAAGTATGTTTGACAGCTGCAGATACAAAAGTTTTTTTTAGGAATACATGCAAGGCCTTTGTGATAAGAAAAGTCCAAGTTGTCAACATTAATTTCTTATTACCGGCACATGACAAAATTGAGCAAGTTTTGCCTTGACATTGTCATCAAGTTCCTGGCAAAAGGATAAGACAAATAAAGATTGTTTAATCATTATTACATGGATCACAGAATAAAAAAACAAGACAAGAAACACACCTTCGAACTGCGACAAGCAAGAAGATTAGGGGTCAAACCTAATCCTCTAAGTTGACGAACACTGTGCTGAGTTGGCTTTGTTTTCTACAGATTAAAAACATTCAAATAAGTGTTGATCATATTACTTGAAAGTTTCAACAATATTCCCTTCAGTTTATTTAGGACCAACAAATTGAAACTCAGAATTTCAATTTTACACTCATAATACTTGAATATATATATATATATATATATATATATATATATATATATATATATATATTTCACATCTATTTCCAATAAGAATTATATTAAAAATGTTTCACTGTAACATGTTTAAAACTATATACCGGTTCACCAACAACATGGAGAATAGGAACCAAGCTGACATGAACCGAACAGAAGTTGCCAGGGCCTACAAAAATATATAAAAATTAGCAAGACTGATTTACTGAAACACGCCAATAATCAAATTGAGATATATAAAATCAATAGAGTATGAGGGTTGAATCATGACAAGCATTACCTACACGGTATGAAAACTGGCCAAGTGCTTCAATAAAAGGCATGGACTCAATATCCCCTACATGAAAGAAAAGTCATTTTAAATGAAATAATTTAAAAATATAGCCGATCCCACCACCAAGTAGAAAGAAGTTTGGTGATTGATTTAGAATATAGGAGTTCTGGTGCTTTCACAGTACGGATAATATGAATATTATTTTCTCTCACTAATTTGCTAAATAGAAGTCATTTTCAATTTCTAGTATTCTACTTCTACCTAACCCATGATCTTTAGCATTAAAATATGGGTAAATTTGAATGGATAATAGAATTATAATAGTATTGAAAAAGTTTTATCTTAGTACTGATGAAAAACTTTCTCTGACTATTATTTACCTATAGTTCCACCTAATTCAATGACACAAACATCAGCTGGTCCTTCTTTCCCGTCAACTGGTATCTTTGCCACACGTTCTATCCACTCCTGGATAGCATCTGTTATGTGTGGAACAACCTACAAATAAAGAAAAAAAAACAAAAATGAAAATCAAGGCACCAACAACAATTTCAAATAGCTTTTTTCAAAGACCAAAAATCAGAATGATTAAACATACCTGTACAGTCTTTCCAAGATAATCTCCTCTTCTCTCCTTCTCAATAACAGACTATAAATATCCAAAATAAAACATTAGGAAACTTCAGGCACACCTGATCAAAAGTAAAGAATAAAACATTGAAAGGCAGTGTACTCACCTGATAAATTTTTCCAGTAGTGATATTATTGTCACGAGTTAACTTGATGTCCAAAAATCGTTCATAGTTTCCAAGATCAAGGTCAACCTTTAACAAACAAAAAAGAAAGAATAAAAATGACAATCTAAAACTTCAGAGAAAAAGAATTGCAGCTTTCCTATTTTACTACCACTGAAACCAGAAACCTACAAAAGAAAAAATTTAGCTACACGTATGAAGTAAAATGAGAAAATGAGAAGAAAGGGGAAAACAACATAATAGCTTATGGCATGTCATCACTAAAGAGAAACATACAATCCCAATCTTCCATTGGATTTTGAAGGAAAAAAAAAACTAATAATTGTCAACCCGTGGTAAGAAAATTTTCATTTGTTTACCTCACCACCATCATCTAACACGAAAACCTCTCCATGCTCGAAAGGAGACATTGTTCCAGCATCAGTGTTCAAGTAGGGGTCTGCAAATGGTGGAAAAATTAAAAATAAAAAAGGGAAAATAGCATTCATTGTTTAACATAACATGATAATAAGAGGAGATGGAATTTAATTATTTATAGGAGGGAAGAGAAACACTGCACAAACTTGAATCTACTCCTTTTTTCAAAAAGACAAAAGAAGAAAACACTGAGGAGAAAGGAACACAATGCAGGAGAACCAAGAGGCCACCAAAACAAGAGAAGAAAAACATCAAACCGGTCACTTTGTAAACAACAACAAAAATCCCCTTTTTTTTCAACAAAACCATTTCCATTCAAATGGAACCACAAGTAGTCCAACGAAACAGACAAGTTGGCCATTCAACAAGCCAATCAAATTTTTGTAGTAAAAAACATAAAAATGCATTCACTTCCCGAATTAGGAAGAAGGGTATTCGACCTTCAATCCACACGAGAGTAAGAACAAGAAAAATACCAATCTTGATAGAGGTAACTCTAAGACCACAGGCCTTGAGGATCAGCCCAATACTGCTGGCAGTGACTCCTTTCCCAAGTCCACTCACAACACCACCTGTCACCAGCACATACTTCATTTTTCCCACCCTTTAAGTTGGTCAGTGAAACTAGTCCTCTGCCTTGTCCAATGCGCAAAGCCAGAACAAACCCCTGAAAATGAGCACTATGAGAAGACAACAACCACCAAAACACAACCTAGGACCTTAAAAACAGACACATACAATTGTAGTTCCAATAATACCACCACTCAAGTACAACTACCACTACTTATACTGAGACCCACTAACCCCTTTTAGCCCTCTGATAAAACTAAGAATGATGACAACAACAGTACAAGAAAGAAACAATGCAAGAGTGGCAGTTTCTAGTAAGTGGGGTGGTTCGGATAAGATAGCTAGATAGGCAATATGACATTACTACTACATACATAGATATCATAAGCAAAGGAAAATGGGAAAAAATAGAAAAAGGTGGGAACTTTGAAGAACCCCACAAGGGAGAGAATAATGAGGAACCTTGTTCACAATGACGGGGTTTACAAGGTTCTTCCTTTCACTGCTTTTCTGGGAACCAACCCCCCTTTTGGCCCCAAAGCCTTTCTCTTTATAGCCCCCCAACAAAGACAGGGAAGTACCCTCTTGCTGCCTCTAAAAACGGCTCAATCAACCCTCAAATGGGACAATAGTTGGAGGGATTGTGCGGTTAGGATTGTTATGTGTCTAATTATGTGTGTATGACACAAAATGGGAGGAAAAACAAAGGGTATAAGGTTTAGACTTTGATCAAGATGAAGAAGATGCTTTTTGGGTTGCCTCTACGGTTAACAAACATCAAAATGTACCCTCTTCCCTCTCCCTCCCTCTCTTTCTCTCTCTACGTCTCCAGTTCTAGCAGTTCTTGTTACAGGCGGCGGGTGAACATGGAAGATGGCTTCACCTTCCAACTTTAAAAAGAAGCAAAATCCATGCCCCAAGGGAAAAAAACAAAAGAAAATTATATAAATATAAAAAATAAAATTTTACTCCTCCTTTATTGGTTGGTTAATGGATGAGGTAAATAAAATAAAATATAGAAAAAGGAGGGATCTTTCATTTTTGTTTTTGACGCAATCAAAAATCAACCAAGAATTGGAAAAGGGCGGTAGTTAGTTGCTATGATCCGGAGAAAAAATTATTTCTTGGACCTGGTCACTGTATTTCAGCAAAAAGAAATAGAAATTGTTAATGAAAATTAAAACATCCCTTATTCTGAAAGTTTATTACTTTTGAGTATATTTTATAAAAATAGTAAATACCTCTTTAAGAATTAATTACTTTCTTTTGACCTAACTCCTATTCTTTATCAGTAACCTAACTCCCATTACTTCAGTAAATGTTATTTTTATTTTTCAATAAAGATGAGTGGCAATTAGACAGCTTGGGAAATGGTTTGACTATTTTTAATTTTTCAGTTAAAGATGAGATTAGTTGAAAATATATATGTCGGAGAAATTAAAATCTAACTTCATTAGGGTTGGGAAAACTATATATAACTGTCTTTCTATCTTAAAAATGTTTTTAGCTATATATAATTTCAAATATATTTATTATACCTTGTATGTATAGGATATTTTTATTACTCCACAATAATTAAAGAATTTGATTATTTAAATTGAAAAATTGTGATATTAAGATTTCAATAACTTTTTATCGTTTTCATATTAGATTTAATTATTCGTTAACTTTTGACCCGTGTATTTAAAATTATCCATTTCAGTCCTTACAAACAACATGTTAATTTACTTTAATCTCTATACTTGTCATTTTAATTTTTTATTTTCTACCTTCTAAAGTCATAAAAGTTGAAAAAGATAGAAAATTGTATATATGTGTGAAGAATAAAATGAATAATTTTTAAATTTAGAAACCAAATTCTTAAATGGGTAATTTAACCGCAGAATTATTTACCTAAACGATTAATGTACCTCCATTCAAGAACATTTTTTAATTCAAAAGGAGACTTAACGAAAAATGAAGACAAAATTGCTAAAAATAATGTGAGACACACTGTTTTTCTGAAATACATTTTTACCTCTTACACAGAAAAACAATTCGAATGATGGTGTCGTGAACACTGAATATGTTTAATTATTAATTGTCTCAACGATGAAAATCATTTTCACACTAATTTTTTCATTCTTCTTTCGTTCCGCATAGCATTTTTGACCATTTGCTTCAGAAAATCTCATCACAAAAAGGAGAATAAATCTTTGTGCCAAGTGTGTACGATGATGAATAAAACATTCTCTATAAATTAAAAAATCAATAGAATTTTTTAAAAAAAACTCTCTATAAATTATATTTAATTTATACCTAGTAATTTCTAAACACGTCACATCTTCAAATAGAGTGTTTTACTACCTTGATCCTTATCCAAATACTCACATTTTACTTGTTCTTTGTTTTTCTACACACTAAAGTCTTTTTGTCTGTTTTTTTCTTTCCAAACATGGAACCCCACAATATGTAGGTAATTTGACTCTCACATGAAAATGTGTTAAAAAAAAAAAAAGACTTTGTATTATTTGATATAAGGCATATTTGATAAAAATTTATAAACAATACGAAAAGAAATGAAAAATGAATTATTTGTTTTACCATTAATGAAAATTTTTAAAATAATTTTAATAAATTAATGAAAAAAAAAGTAATGTAACATGTGCTAACATTATAAACCAATTTCACATTGTTCTTCAATCATAAGATTCTCTCTCTATATATATATATCATAAGTTTATCATAATCATTTTAAAAATGGTTAACAAATTTTGTGTTGAAAAATAATTATGAGTTATTGATGTATAACTTAGCATTGAAAAAAAAAAGTTTGAGTAATGTGAGAATGTAAGAGCACCGTTAAATTATGAATAATGTATGATCAGATTCTTCTTCCACCCCTTTTCACGGAGAAACTTTTGATTGGTTTGTTCCAGAAAAGCAGTCTCAAACCGTAGAATCAAAGATAAAAAGGTGTTCTTCCTCCGTTCCATAGTCATTCATTCACACCAGACAAATCACAGTTTTCAACAAAGGAGCTATCATCTACCAACACCTGGCATCCTACATAATCAACCCCTCTCAAAACACTTTATACGTAACTACCTACAATTTTTATACCTATATCTTCCTATTATAATACATAAATAAACACAAAATTTTTATAAAACTAAATTAAGTATTTTATTATTTTTAAGACAATATTAAAATCAATTATAAATTTATTAATCGTTGAGTGAAGTTAAATTATTGATTATTGAAATAATAATAATAATAATAATAATAATAATAACCATTAATAAAAATAAATTAAGGAAAATGGGAAAGTAAATAGTTAAGGAAAATGGGAAAGAAGTTGGGGCAGAGGAGCATGAGAGAGAGAGAGGGCATTGGGTTTTGGTGGTGATGGTAATGCCAACCTTGAAAATGAAAGAGCATCATCCCCTGTGGTTGGTTACATTGTAGACCCTACTTTCCTTAGATTACGTTCATCTCTTGTGCTTATTTTACATTATCCCCAACTTAGCTTACATCTATCACCCTTTCTTTATCTTTCATACATTAAGTTAAACAAATCTATCTCTCTTTCCCTTCAGATTATAAACAAATCCATATCTTAGTTACTGTGTCTCAGACACATCTTTTCTTCCACCCAAACCTATATATATATTTCTTTACATTAACTCATATCTTTTCTCAGTTTTTCAACATAAACCTTCCAACAATAAAAAAATTATAAAATTGTAGAGTTTATTAATTGGTTCTCAAGATTTATTAAAATAAAATAAAAAAAGTTAAAATCTCTTACATATTTAAACGACATTTTGTTTCTATGACGAAATAATATAATATAATATAATATAATATATGTAGAAACGAAATTTCCAAGTTTAAATTTTCTTATACTTTTTAAACCAAATATGTAATTTTAATCTTTATTTTTTTAATTTTAATTCCTTAATTATTAATTATACACCAGTTTTGATTGCAGTTCTAATAAATTAAATTCTAATTATTTGTAAATTTATTCAATTCTCAGTTTTTAAAATATATTAAATCACTATCAAATTATATTTGGTAAGAAGTCATGTTGTTGTTATCAAGTATATATTATTGTAATCCTTTTCGATGCTTTAAAAAAAGTGACAGGTATATAATGTGTTTGTCTTCATTTTATTGTATCGTGCTCAAAACAAGAATAAAAAATATAAATAGTTAAAGTAAAAATGGAACAAAGTTAAGGATGGTTAAAAATATAGGATCAAAATTAGATAAAAAAAATGACAGAATTAAAAAAATAAAATATTAATATATTTTTATAGAGATGAATCTAAGAATCAAATGAAAATGTATTTTAATGAAGTGGAGGCAAATTAATAAATATATGTGGTTGAACAATAATTCAACCGTTTATGTTTGTTAAGATTGATTTGATGTCACATGGTAGTTTGTTAAGATACCTTTGATGTCACATGCACCATAGTTTCAGTTGGAAATTTGGAGCCATGGAAGTTATGAAATGAATTGGTCCAAGAAAGGAAGTTAGAGGTAAAAGGCATAAAAATGAATAAATGTAGTAAAAAATGGAACCAAGTTGGTGAATCCCAAGGACCATTTTGTCTTTATAAGACTGCACGCCTCAACGTTGTTTTGTTTGTTTTTGTTTTAATAACATAACACACAGCAAAAGAACAAAGACAATCCACATGCACCTGCTGCATTTTCTTGTGTTCTGGTTCCTGACTCACATGTGAGTGTGCATTGCTCTGCTACTTTACCATTTCCCTTGTTTTTTAGCATCTTATATCAACTCATCGCTGCACCCAAAACTCACTCATCAAATTTAATCCACATTTTTTATTCATTCCTACTCTCACCAAAATCTACTTTTTCTTCTACTTCTATTCTCTACACAAAAACATACCAGAATGCTATTCAACTCAAATCTTCTAACAAATACTTTTTACCAATTATTTACTTTTTTTTATGTCGATTAGGAAAAGTAATTAATACTAGCTTATTTTCATTAACAAATTTTTAAAAATGACTTTTTTTTTCTCTCATATTAAAAGAGTTATTAAAATTATATGACATTTTTCGGATAACATTTGTACCGTTATATTGTAGTATACGGATCATAACGTATTTACTATAATTATACGACTAGAACGGTATATTGAAGACATGCAACCAAAAGAAATAAGGTCGAAGCAGTGTCAAAGAACCAAGACTCAGAAAAAAAATCCATCAATATATAATAGGTTTGGTCTTATGTTTATTATTGGTTACGATTTTGTATCTAAAAGATATTGATAAATTAAGAAAAGAGAATGTATAATTTTTAAATAATACGGTCGAAACAGTAGATACAAATATTAGAAAAACTTCAAAATAAATAATATCTTAGACATGAGAATTTATTTTAATGATATTATTAAAGCATGAGATTAAAAGATACTTGTTTACATTTTTATTTATAAGAGTAGCTTAAATATTATGTATTTTTAATGGTTTGAATATAAACCTATAAGATATTAAAAGAGATTTTTTTCAAAATTATTAATTGCTTACGTTTTAATTCAAGTATATTTATGTTATCTCCTTGAAAATTTTAAAGAGAATAATAAAAACATATACCTTATGTATTTTTAATTATTAATAATCTAAATCTTCTCATGTGAGCTTACGTTACAAGATTGTGTAAAAACTTTAGGTTCGTGTATTTCCATTTTCTTTTCAACACGTACATTAACATAGTTTAATTGGATTCTATCTATATGTCTATGAAGAGACAAAATTTTAATATGACTTTTAGACACTCGTAAAGTCTGATAGCATCTCCTCCATTAAATAATCATAAATGATATATGTTTAAAAAAATCACACAGTCTTGTCACGGATAAATTTCTACTATAAATAATAATCTATTAAGTGGTAATTCCAAATTTGTAGAAAAATACTACTACAAAATCTATTAACGCTTATTTTATTTGTTATGAGGTTTATACAACAAGTACATAGAAAAACCTAGAATACTTATATTTGTTATGAGATTTGAAAATAATAAAAAAATTTAAGAAATAAATACGTTAACATTGATTTAAAATTACAACCAAGATAAAAACATTGATCGATATGGAATATCTACTAATTTACATTTTCTATTTTATTTATATATGTTATATAATGTTAAATTACTCACCATATAAAAATAAGAGAAAATGCAATCATCTCTCTTCACATGTGCATTCATGATTCATGTATCTTCTCTTCCCATGTGCATAAATATGTTCTCCAACTCAACCAAATAGTAACAACTATTTCGAGGATGCTTTGAATCTCATTCAATAGAAATATGAAAGTTAAAGAATTTATAAATGTAATTTAATATTTAAGATTTTAAATTAAAAATGATATCATTTTTTTTTCATGTGATTGATTCGTAGAAAAAGTTGTTCTACCAAAATTTTAAACAAGTGAAACTCATTGTGTTGAATGAGAATATAAGTAAATTATTATTTAATATTTTAAATTTTTTTTGTTAAAAATGATGTAATATATTTTTTATTATTGAGTTTTCTTATTATTTAATCATTAAAAGATCCAATATAAATAATATATTAATATATAAAAACATAGTATATAATAAATGCAGTATTTATTTAATAAAAAGGTAATTAATAACATGTCAACACCCATTATTAACTTAATGGTTCAATCTATCCCAAATGTGAAGACAATAAGAAAAGATAAATGTGATGTATAATGACTTGGCATATGTATATAATACAGTTTATATGTGAGGTAGTTGACATGACACTGTTAGTGTGAGAGATGAGGTGAGATTGAGTGTTATTAGCATTGAATTTAATAAGATATTTATTGATAATCTAAATAAAATAGGTAGATTAAAATATTAAATGATGAAAAGTGAAGAATTATAAAAACACCATATTATTTATGATTCATAATTATATTAAAAAATAGTTCATTCTTCATAAAAAAATATTATTATTGTTTTTAATTCGAATTCTCTATATTTTCTTGAGAGAGTTTAGATTATCTCTCTAGAAATTATCCTATATATATATATATATATATATATATATATATAAAAGAAAATAATGAGAATGATACCACTATTATTAGACTATAATATAGTATTAACATTATTATGGAAGTATATAAATGTTAATAATTAATTTTAAAACTTAATACAAGTATTCCTAAAAATGTCTATATTATGTTCTAACTATGAGAAATAATAATAGGAGTATAATATACTTTATTTGTGGTAGTGTTTATTATTTGATGTGAACTTATTTATGCAATAATTGTAAGATTTATATCTTTACAAATAGCTTATTACTTTATTTTGTAAATATAATTTTGAAACTATGATAATAATGTTCATTGCATAGAAGCAAATGATGCTATAGCAATTTTCTATTACGTATACATTAAATATATGATTTTAGTATTTTAGCTGATTTTGTTTTTCACTCAATTCTTAACCAGTAATCATTTAAATAAAAAATAAATTATCGTAAATAATTTCGTATTCATTTTCGTTATTTTATTATATAAACAACGATTCTCCTAAATAATCTAAAATAAAATAATGTATTCTAAAACTATTTTTCATTTTACATATTTAACTACATAGTTGATTAGTACTTTATATTTACAATTAACTATAATGAATTGGTAGGTAGAAATTTGTTATAGATTAAAATAGTTTTGAATTTGAGATAAATATTGTTAAAATTTGGTAATTTTTTTTATCCGTAATCATTTAACTACTTTTTTTTAATAATACAATCATTTAATGTGAGTTTGAATGCAAGTATTTTTACACACATTATGATATTTGTAGAATTGTAAACTTGTGATTTTTATGGCTGGATTTTTATTTTTTATTTTTTACATAAAGGTGATGTTAAATTTGAGTCAAATATTAATGATTAAGTGTCAATTACTTGAAAAAAACACATTGTAGTTGA